TTTGTTCCCCCCCCCCCCCCCCCCCCCCCCCCTCCCTCCGCCCCCCCTTGAATTCTCCGGCTTTAGAGGTTTTTGCGTATAATTTCACATCCCCTCTCGTTTGAGTTTCCAGTCTTCATGAATCCCTCGATGAAAATGCCTTGTTGCAAGATGCACAGCAGAAAAATGTTAACGTACTTTGCCGACATTCATTCATTTCGTGTTTCGACACGTTCCGCAGCCGCTGCCACACCTTCACTCTTTTAGAATGAACCCATCTGGACGATTTCGGCCCGTACTTGTGCCGTATCGTCGTCGGTCCCTTGTCGTTAATAATAATGATAAACTGATATAGTTGCACAAAGTAATACAACAGAGGTCGGCAACTAAATTTTACGGGGGACCGAATGGCAGAATGCTCACGTTCGCGAGCCAACACCTATCAAGTGTCTTTAAAATGAAAATTTTATTGAACGTCTACTGTCAGACCGTAATGTCAGATACACGGGTCTTCGCGGGCCACAGGGAGGGCTTCCGCGGGTCAGATCCGGTCCGCGGGCCGCCAGTTGCCGACCACTGTAATACAGTATTCCAATAATGTGACAGCAGTTCAATTCATCTGCACGCTATGGACGCTGAAGTAATTTGTTATACATTCAATCGTTGCGATCTTTGGGACGTCGTGCTTCTGAATAACTGCCATTCAAAGTCTCAATATTCCGGATTTTCTCATTTTTGTCCTCTCCTCGTCCTTCAAGAAGCCACGACCGGCAGAATAAATACAAAATACGTACAATTTCCAGCTGGACTTTCGATCTCAGAAAAGCAGGATCGCCCCCCAGAGCATCCACAACCGCCGCAAGTTTTCACTTCCGAGTCGCAAGTTTCCCACCACTTGCGGAATTTTCGCCATCGACCACATAATGGGCGACTCGGAAAGCCTTTTATGACTTTCCATTTTCATACATTTCTGTCTTCGAAAGCAGGTCTGGCCCAACTTGGATCCAACCCGATCCCACGCAAAAAAAGCCATGTCGCAAGTTGCACAAAGGTTTAAAGGATTGTATATCACTACACCCACATTTCTTCTAAATGCATAGTGAAGGTGAAGGGTGAAGTGTTTCATAGGCCGACGCGAGATGGCGCCTCTCTCGCCACAAGGCTAACCATTTCTGAGTCCTTTTAAATTCCTTTGATGTTCTCGGATGATATTCGGTAAACAGCGATTCCAGGAACCGCCCTCATGTCTGTTTCTGTATTCCCCATTCAACGCCGAATGGAGGTGTTTGTGGCTGGTCTGCCATAGAAGGATCCACACCGTTGAAGCAGGTATTGGCGAACCAAGAGAAAGCAAGGTGCGTCGCCGAATTTCCGTCCCCTCTCGCGTTATAGGTTCCCTCCCGCAGGACTTGTTTAAGCCGACCCACAGTCAACTCTCGTTATACCGCAACTGTTGGTCTTCGTCGATTTTGGCGCTATATCGAAATACATGACTGCAAAATTGGAAACATTTTTTTTAAACCTATATAAAACATCCACAAAAATCACTTTAATTCCCCCCACCCTGCCAATGGTCCGCGCCTCAGAACACACAAACTACACGGCTTTGAAAAATGACTTCATTCATGATGAAATCCAATTATTTATTATTTTCCATGAGAATAGTTCCTATGCACCGTCTGTTCACTTTATTGTCCCAAAACCCCCCAAAAATGGTTGACAAAGTTTTGTTGACTTTCGACCACATGCGCCTTCTAACGACACACTTCCAAATTTTCCCTCACACTTTTCCCAATCACTAGATAGTGAACAAACTTGAAATATTGTCTGGAGAAGCTGTGTATTATCTGTATGAGACGTTTCCATTCTCAAAAGGGAAGAGACATGATCAGGTCGGATTAGGTGACTCATACGCCCCCCTCTAATGCCTGGAGATTCCCCCCCTTTAGGGTCAATTTTACAGGTTCGATTCTCACAAATTTTTTAATTTGGTCACAAATACAGGGTGGGTAATCAGTGTTTCATATGGCAACCCCCCCCCCCCATTCGGATTTCCTGGGCACGCTACTGATGGGCGGCAATAGGGTTGCCACCCGTTCATAATTAGTATGGACGGTACATATTTCAGATGCAATGTCCATACTGCAAACTGGTCGTAATATGGACACTGTTTTGTCCATATTTTTAGCGTAAGATTTTTTGAATTAATAAAGCTTAATAGCAGCTAAAACTACTCCTTTCTGTAAGTTAGGGTGACCAGACGTCCTGTTTTTTTTTGTTTTTTTTTTTCAGGCTATATCTCAGTTTGAATTCTCCTTTCCATTCTGGTGTCCAGGTTTTTCCACGTAGCAAAGACTAACGTTTGGGCATTTTTCTTTCAAATTTCCTGGGTTTTCCTAAAAAAAAAATCTGGTCACCTTACTGTAAGTCAAAAACAGTAGGCCACACTCTCATAGTATTAACTGACGCCTCTGCTTAAGGTGACTGAGGGCATCCGCAGCATAACCGCATACGCAAGTATGCTTCGAATATTTGTCCATGTTTCGTTAAATTCAAAGGTGGCAACCCTACCGGCACAGTATGCGGTTTGGCGCAATATCGAGTATGGCTTACGTAGAAAAAGACACGTTAGTGTTAGTGTCTTAGCGGTTGGCGGCTTGCGAGAGTGGCACTATAACAGGGGGGCGCCAATGTTAAATCTATAGGGAGGATTCGCTCTCAGGAAAGAGTTGGTGATAAGCGAGAGTGGCGGTATATCAAGGAGTTGACTGTATCTACTTTCGTAACACTAGTCACCGTCTTTACGAGGCGTGCCAAGACAGTCCGCCTTTTGGAGGCGGACTGTCCTGGTTCTGTACCTCCTCCTCGACGCCCGTAAAGCCCTTGAGTCCGACCCACTGAAAGGAGACGGTGCCTGTGCTCATCGGAAGGTCCCTAAAAGACGACTTTCAGAGGCTTATTCTCTTCTCTCCTATACTTGCTGTTCTTGAGCGAGCCAAACGTGAATGGAGATTTACCAAGAGCAATGGGAACTGCTACCATGGTGCATATTATGAGCATACTGAGGTGGCTCTTGGACTGAAACACGGCCACGAACAATGGGAGATCCAGAAGGGGCTGCCTAAGCACAAAGAAATGATTCGATGAATGGCTCTTGGCATTTCACATGAGAATTTTTTTGAAATCCACCTCTAACCATGAAGACGAAAGGCAAACCCCATATTATATGGAACCATATTACACCATACTCCATATAATACATACACTTGTTGAGTCATCATGAGTGCAATTGTGTTTAAAATGAAATCAGTCATAAAACATATCAAAGACACTTATTTTACCCTCCTCTTCCCCCCCCACATAAAAAACTGGTAAGATGAAAATAACCAAAATAACCATGGCAGAGGTTGATCCTGAACTGAACCTTAGGGTTTGATGGCACTTGTTTCAATGGAATTGTGATGGAGCAAGAGAATACCAATTACCAGATAAGGAATAATCTCTTTGAGGAATCTTTTTTATGTCAATATTACCTAAGTATATATCATTTGCATGTCTTCAGTTTCACACAGCTCCATAATAGGATCTCTAGGAATGTGTTCATAATGGAAATGATGTGCAAGCCATTGCTGCATTCACATGAAATGCCAATTTTTCCAAATTCAGCCAAGGAAAACTGTTGCATGAATTTTTATCATATATTTTTGTCAATCAGTTCAATAACTGTACAGCTCAATAATGCCAAGCTATCACAGATCGAAAAGCAGATTAAAACAGTGTGCAAGAATCATGACTGTGATATGCTCAATTCATAGTGAAAACTTTGCAGGAAAGTGAATTCAAAATCATTAAGGTTGAATCATGTAGGACGGATATGAAATGGTATCATATGAGGGTTCAGTAAAAGCCAGCAAATAGACTGATTGCAACATACTGAATCTCTGGGTAGATCACCCAAATGCCCTTGCCATAAGAACAAAGAATCCCTCCAGGCACTTGATAGACTTTGCACAAATCAGTCTGTGAATCACGGCCTTCAAACTCTGCCACCTTCATGGCATCGAAGCCAGTGCACATGGGCCGCTCACCCGGTTTGAAGGCTAGGGTGATGTGAGCCCGTCTGCCTTCTGACTTCAGTGGACGCATTCTATGAGCCATCACCTCTTGAGACTGCTGCACGCTGATTAATGAAGCTCTTGGCTCCAATACTACAGGGTTTTGATCACTGTTTCTCCTTGTGTGTTTGCTTCTCGTTGGTAGTGCTGGGATTTCCTCTTCAAAATCATTTTGGGCCCATACATTCAATTGGTCCTCAGTCAGCTTCACTCGGATTCCAAAGCTCCTGCTGGTGATGAAAAATCCAATCATATGAAGGTGAAATGCCTGTCCCAAAGCATTCTCTACTTCACTCTTCCTTTCATACTCTCGAGAACCAGGAACTTTCCCACGTCCTGAGAACATGGCAGTACAATGAAGTAGCTCGGGTTCCATTCTTTGGTAGTATTTCATCATATCTTCTGGGCATTCCAGACCACTCCAACCCATGAAGTCTTCTAAAAAATCAGAGACTTCAAGGCACCGTTCCAGCCAGGCATCTCCAACTCTCTTGAGAAGCCATGTATCAGCTTCATTCAAAAACCATCCATAATAGAGAGGGGACATTTTCTGCCAAGCATGAAGGCGGCGTTTCAAGAGGTCAACAGACACATTATGAGTATTTCGACGTGCCAGTTCCTCAGCATCCTTAAACCATGGAGTTTTTGGTTCAATAAGAAGAACCACATACTTGTAAGCATTTCCCATCTTCACATAAGGGATCATCTCCCACCTTGTAACATTTGTATTGTCAATGATAACAACTGAAGTCCCTTTATTACATTCTTGATCTGCTTTAGCTTGAGAGTAGGCATGAGCATCCTTGAGTCGGCTGGGATCAAATTCATACATCCCGGTTAAAGAATAGTAATCATCGGCAGAACAAATAGTGGCATGTGGATATAGCTGTGTGATGACTTTTGTCAGATGAGACTTCCCACTTCCAGGGAGTCCCCTCATTATCAGAATAACTTTGGAGTCCTGGAAATACTCAACAGTCAAGGGGTCCTTGAAAAATGGAAAATCGAGCGTTAAGTCAGCTGGTAAGGGTAACGTCTGTGCCTGGTTTTCAGGAAGGGCAACTTTGGAGGAAGGGACATTTGGGGAAGCTTCAATCAAATGCCCCTGATCCACAGATGTTCTTTCTGGTGTTACTCTGGACACCTTAGCTCCCATTATCTTCCCTTGGCAACCTATACAGACGTTTATATGCACTTTTGTAACAATTTTGCAGCATACGAACGTTTGCAGCTCGAGGCCAATATCTGCAAGATAACTGAAGTCGAACAAAAATCCCGTTGACCCCAGCCGCTAGCCTAAAGCCAGCTACTGTCTACAGTCTAACCTATAAGCAGCACGAACTATCCGAGTGACACCATGTGTAGTGATTGATATGAAATCAGACATTAAGAGAGAAAACCAGAGAACTACACGTGGCGTGAGACTGGTCTCACGTGATATTACACCACACGTGCACTATGTGGGCCGCCATAGAAATGGAGACATTTAATGATGCGTCATCGCTGTCGTCTGCTATTGGTTGCCGTTTTGCAACATTAAGCAATGCTTGCAAGATGATGTCCTCGCATTGCACATGGCAAATTCTATATTTTACGCACACTTTTTTTCCGCCGAATAAATTAACATGGAAAAGAGTGTGGCAACAGCTACATATGCAAACTGATGTCGGTAGATAAGCCTGGCTTGATCGATATATTTACTAAAGAGTATAACATCAATTGGTTAGAGTTCTTGCGGAGGTGTGATGAGCAAGCAGACGCTCTTGCAAAAGTACGGAGTCATTATCGAGCACCTCGATTTCAGATTCGTTGAAACTTGCTCAGACGGAGAATATCTGGAGAAATTAGTTGAAATTCTCAGGTGAGTCGTCGCCGTGAACACTGCACTCCGCATTCTAAAAACTGAGAGAAAACTGACTTTCCTAGATCTGGTGAAGAGGGGTACTACCCTGCCCTTCTGGATGCTACGGAGAAGCAACTGGAAAGAGTGAAGCCCTCCTCGCAGCTTCTGGTCGAAGACAAGGGTCCCTATGTTCCCGATCGGCAGGATGAGAAGGCACTCACGCATCAACTGAAGGTTAGGTTAATTGACTACAGATGTTTCTTATCGAAGGCTACCAGAGCATCTCGCATTCGAATGCTCGTTCGCATCAGGTCTGGTCCCTGGAGTGCAAGGCAGATGAAAGTGCTCTCAAGGATGGAACGCCCCTTGACGCCTTTCGAGATCTTCCCCCGATGAGGTCGGGACAGCAGAGCGAACACAAAGACTGCAACTCTAAGTTGGTCAGTCAAAGCAGCGCATTTCCTGCAGAGCTCAGAATCCTAGCAATAACTGTGCTACCAAACAGGAAATGCAGGCGTGCGACGGAGGAGAGCCGGGACGCAGGAGGGGAGCTCTCAACGAAAAGCTCAAAGGGAACGAGAGCTACGGCCAAGGAGATTTCCAAGAGGCTTTGAGATGCTACCAGAGGAGCCTCATCCACTATCCAACCCCAGAGGTGTTCTCCAACATGGCTCTTATCTGTGAGATTCTTTCTTGGCTCTCCCACTCCCGTTCGATCGCTTTCGCTATAACTTCTGTGATGTCGCACCGTCGCAGACTTGAAGCAAAAGGAGTACGAAGCCGCCGTCTCGGCCAGTTCCCAGGCCCTGGCCCTGGATCCCACCCATCTCAAGGCTCTTCTGCGACGTGCTGATGCGTTCTTCCACCTTGGCAACCTCCTGCAGGTTTACCTTCAGTCTCAACCCTTTGAGCGGTGACTGTGCGCGCCCCCTGGGGCCTATTCCACAGAAGATTTACAAGTTACAAGCTACAAGTCTCAAGTAGTTGCAAGGGTCTCGTCTTCTTTTTCAACTCTTCTAGTGGGTCCCGCTGACGATGCGATCAAGGCATGAACCTTGCAACTACTTGTAACTTGTAAATCTTATGTGGAATAGGCCCCAGGAGTGAATTTTTTTCGAGAGCATGCCTCCAACCTCCGTCCGCTTAATTTTCGAAATGCAATGGGGTCATTCTACGCCAATTCGACCAGAGCATGAGCTCGACCATCTCTGATTTGGGCGAAAATTGGCATAGATGTAGAGGAATTGATTTAAAGAAACTTATTTCAGCTAATTTTTTTTTCCTCTTGCACAGATCTCCAGATATATTAATTTAAATGTGACCTATTTTTGATTCATGGCGTCCACATGGACTAGAATTGTGAAATCCTTTCTGCAATAACTTCTCTTCTAGTTAAGATACAAGCTTAATTCTTGTGCCATTTTAATTGTGAAGTCGCCATCTTTAATTTGATTCTGGACACTATTCTCCAAACTTTAAACAAGAAGTTCCACTTGACCAAACAGTTTTATCAAGTTCAGTGGCGAATATCTATGCTTGCCACCATGGGAATTTGTAGTTCCAATGCATCATTCAAAAGTGCATGGTGTGCCATTTTAACCCTAATCCAGCCAAGGTGAGTCCGCTGGACTCACTACGACATTTTTCGGCCTATTACTGTCATTATTTTTTTAAACTATCAGGACCATTGAATAAATTGTCTGTATTATTTTAGTTACAGTACCGTTATCTATAAGAATACATACCGTAACCACAGCAAACGGCCTTATTTTACATGAGTCTGACAGACTCACCTTGCCCGGAATAGGTTGTAAAAAAGCTTGCCCGGATGAGGGTTAACAACACCAAATTCAAGATTGGCACTCAATGGCTTCATGAGATATGGTCATTTCACACCAGCAATAGTGCCCAGAATGCTGGGCATTGGGAATCATGGGAATGAAGCCCTACAGGTGCAGCTATATATGCACTTTTGTTGCCGTCAAATGGTTATATCTCATGAAGCTATCGAGTGTCAATCTTGAATTGGTGTCAGAAATGGTACACCATGCACTTTTGAATGATGCATTGGAACTATGAATTCCTGAGGTGGCAAGTGTAGATATTTGCCACTGAACTTGATAAAACTGTTTGGTCAAGTGGAACTTCTTGTTTAAAGTTTGGAGAATAGTGTAAAGAATCAAATTAAAGATGGTGATTTCACAATTAAAATGACACCAAAATTAAGCTTGTATCAAAACTAGAAGAGAAGTTATTGCAGAAAGACTTCACAATTCCAGTCCATGTGGACACACATTTAATTTCATATACCTGGAGATCTGTGAGAGAAAAAAAATTAGTTGAAATTAGTTTCTTTAAATCGATTACTCGACGTGTATGCAGATTTTCATGGCAGTACTGACTAAGATGAGACATATTCAGGAATCTCCAAATTTAAGCTCAAACTGACTGCATCTGTACAAATGTGGCAATTTGAATTCGAAGATGCAGGACATACCAGTACGGCCACACTCCTGTGGGATTGGGAGCACATGGCCGTGGCGGTATGGCCATACCACTCAAAAGGTTAACATCAATGCATATGACCAATCACCACATCAAAAATTTCCACTGACCACTGGTTTATTAACAGGCCAAAGAAGACCTTGAACTACTGCTGACATTTGATGAGGGCAACCAAGCTGGTCAGAAGTCGATGCAGAAGGTCCTCAATGAGCTTGAGAAACCCCAATTCTCATCTCATATGAAACAATCAAAGAGGTATGTCTCTTTTTTCCCATAAACGCTCTTTTTCTTGTTCATGCTAGAGATACTATACAGTTATCAATTTCCTTTCCAGACCACTGATACAGGAAATAAGAAGCACGCCAGAGATGGGACAGAATTGACTGTACGTTCTTTATTTTGTCATGTAAACAAATTGAAGGAATTTTTGGCTGCTCATGACACAACTTGAGATGAAATGCATTTGGGATTGGAGATCGTGTCAATCGATCCATATGGAACAAGCTGACAAGGAAGATACCTTTCATTTTGAACACTCTTGCAAACCTATTCCATTACTGGGAATCAATTATAAATCTCTGTCAACTTACAACAAAATAAAAAATGTACTTTTTACTGAAAGCCCTGGAAGATAAAGATTTTGTTTTTTTTTCACCATGAAGGTGTTCATGCCCTAAGAATAGATCTTAAACCTTGTTTTGTTTCGGCTGAGATTCCTCTTTGTGCTCTTGAGAGGCTCCTGGTTCTTTAACCAATGGCTGACCTTGGCTTGCATCTTGGCTAGGAACCTGATTACCTTCAAGTGTCTTGACAGGTGGAGGAGATGGTGGTGATGGCACTCCTTGCTGTTGCCCCTGAGGGTGAACTTGTGGCTCACCTTCATTGAGCTGCTTCTTTCCCTGTGAAGGAACCTGATTTTGCCCTCTAACTTGGTACTGTCCTTGATTTTGTGGAGGCATCTGGTACTGTCCTTGATTTTGTGGAGGCATCTGGTACTGTCCTTGATTTTGTGGAGGCATCTGGTACTGTCCTTGATTTTGTGGAGGCATCTGGTACTGTCCTTGGCCTGGTGGAGGCATCTGGTACTGTCCTTGGCCTTGTGGAGGCAAAGCTTGGAACTCTCTTTGGCGTGGATCTTGTTGAAACTGTCGCTGGTCATGAGGAATCTGGTATTGCCCTGGTCCTATTGGTTGCCCCCTCTCATCAACATATGGAACATGTTCATAGGGAACACCTGCAAATGAGAAAGACCCATACATTTAAGGCCAGTCTAAGACATTACCAGTGCATTCTTAAACAGGTAAGATAAGGTTCCTAACCCATTAAAAAGACTGTAGAAACTAGTAAGCCTGCTTGTTTTCTGGAATTTTATTCCATTCATAATGTAAGCAGAGTAAAGGGAAACATTCAGAATGTTACACAGGTTATGACACTCTTGACAACCATCCAGTATCCTAGTATCACCATGTCTCATTAGAAAATTACCTTCACTTCTCTGAAAAACACTTCAAGCAGGGGGTCACTCACCATGAGGAGGGATGGCATTAGGGTGTTGCCGATAATATTCCTCCATCTCACGTTGATATGTCTGAAACTCATCATCACTGTAAACATCCTGTTCATCAAGGCCCACCCAACCAGGATCTTCTTGAAACTCTGATTTTCTACTCTGCTCGATAAATTCATCTAGGCTGATAAGACTGTCACGGTTCACATCAGTCTCATGGAAGACATGTTCTCGCATCCGCTCCAGCTCTTCATCTCGCTCATAGACATCATCTTCTGGAGCATTTGGGTCATACATCTTCTTCACCTCATTGAAGAACAGGAGCTTGACCTGCAAGATTCCAATAAATCATCATATCCAAATCATCAGGGAATGTAAAGACAAATCTTTCAGATCATCCACTCACCTCATCAGGGTCAAGGTAACCATTCCCATCCAGGTCATGCATATGGAAAAATGTCTTGAGGTTAAACTCCCCCTTCTCCAAGTGATCTTGTTCCTGCCAAACTTCCTCCAATTGCGCTTTACTCCCTGGATGATGAAGCTTTGGGTGTTCCTTGTGTTTCTTCAGTTCTTCTTCATGCTTTTTCTCCAATTCCAACTTCTTTTCCTCTGGCAGCTTCTCAACATCTTTACGCCTTTTGTATTCCTTCTCCATTTCATACCTACAACAAGCAGCATAACATACATATTTGCTGGGCATTCTTGATGAATTCTTGATGAGACAGGGTGTCCCAGAAGTCATAAGGAGACATCTTTGTTTGACAATGTAGAAGATCCAAGGACTTTGGAATTCTAAGTTAAGGCTTCCACTATGTCAATTTGGAATATAATTCCCCAGTCACTTACAATTATCCATATCATCTGTCAGCTCAACCACAGATCCTCAAAAAAATGTTAAAATACAGGTTGTACATAAAGAAAGTAATCCAGGATCAGGTGGAGGAAGATGAAAATTAATAACATGACTGAAATTGGGAAAGAAAACCTCCCTAATGAAGTGACTCTTGAGACACCCAAAACAAGGAATGACTAAAGAAAACATCAAGATTACTTCTTGAATTCTGTTTTTCTTTGCTTGTCTGCTTCCTCCAAGTCCTTTGTTGTCTGCAAGATCAACTTTCGCAGATCCTCCTCACCAAATTGTTTGGGATTTCTCAGATCTAAGTGCACAGGGATCTTGAAGGAACTTCGATTGATTCCATTCTTCTGTTCGTATTCTTGCATGGCCAGGTGGCGAAGCCGCTCCATTTCTGTCCGTTTGATCTCATCCAGTTTTGTTCTCACATTATGCCCAACTAAATTCAGCTGATCTGCAATTTTCCCACTACGAATGTCATCAACATGGGCTTCCTCCAACTTCTTTCGGAAGTCAGCATCACTTTCCAATGCATTAACCACTTCTTGTAGATATCGTTGGTATTCCAACTCCATTTTGTCCCATCCTGAAGTATCATTTGGGTCATGCTTCACAGCCTCATCCTGGGTGCTGTTCTTCTTCACATTCACAGGAGGTGCTCCACAAAAGTCCACTACCATCAGCATGCTGAGGCCCATGCCAATAGCCATTGGCAGGCCTAATGATTTGGGAATCACACCCATCCCAGCACTCTGGTTCTACAATGATCAAAGGCAGAGACATCATTCCAGGAATTGTAGATAAATAATTAGTAACACAAAAAGGACAATATGACTATGTTTATTATTAACCTGAGGGTATTGGACAGAGTCCCAGCAATTTCATCAGAGAAATCATGCTATCCTGATTGTCCAAATTGTTCATGCTGTCCTGCCTAGTGTTCAACCAAATTCATACTTTTCAACCACCTTCATTAAATTTGGTGAGCAAGTACCATACAATAAGAATCTTACAGCAAGATGCCTCTATATTGGTTGGTTGGTCTTACTATCCACAAAAATTCAATCAGTATCCTACTATATCCTACCTAAAAGAAAATGCTCAAAGAATTTGACAGATATCCATAATTTTCATTGGAATTAATTGATCTTGTGACTTGAGGGCAAGGCAGTCAATGTATTTATCAATGGAATTGACAGGAATTATTCACTTAGAATACTAGGAGAATGATACTTTACTTTGAACAAGCCAGTAGTTTTCCTTATTCTAGTAATGTGCCTTTGTGAGACAAGACCATCCTAATCATAAACATTACATATCAAGTACACCTGAATGGACCAAACAGAATTAATAGGTTCAATAAACAAGTTATGAATATGGGTCTCCTTTATGATGTGTAGCATCTGTTAGTTGGGGTAACATGGACCAAACTGCAAGGCTGAGCTTGGCCTGGATGCTTTTTTGGATTAAGTCTCTACACACCTGAATTATTTGTCCTCTGATGGCCAGTGAATGCTGGCAACACAAACTTTTTACAACATATTTCAATGCCAGCTGTCTTTAGTTATAGAGTAGGCCTGAACTCTGCACCATTTTTTTTAGATGTTGGCAGTTCATATGGGGTCAGATTTAAATGCTAGTGTTTTTCACTTCAGTTAGACAATTTTTCACTTGACTAAGACACCGACACGAGGGGTATTCAGAGAGGAGGCAAAGGTGCAGATGCCCCTGGTGACTAGTGACATCTTTCTCTCCTTTGAATACTTAGGCTTTTTCATAGGAATAAACTATGTACTGGAAATGACGAACTGCATGCATAGCCACGTTGTCAACGGGAGACCGTCCTTGCATAAAAAAGGCTCTTAAGTTCTCAATTTCCCATTGGCTCAATGAAGTAGAAACACCGGATCGATGTAGAAACACCTCACCATGCACCGTTGTCGAAGTCAAATGAAAAACACTGTAAGACCCTATTGTTCGAACCTCATTTAGTGAAGCAATGGAGCTTCTAAGCTAAGAAGATTCAGTTCCCACTATAGGAGTCCCTGATTTCTGAAAGGGTAATTCACTAAAGGCTTCATTATTCAGACTGAAGCACTGTAATTTGCAAAGTCGATTCAGAAATGCGGAAAGTGTGATTATGCATACGGGCACAAGGCTTCGCACAGCATGGAGATGAGAAAGTGAGCGGCCGTTCAAAGACAGCAATAAACGTATTGTGGCATAGAAACCACAGCATTTGAACATAACAAAATATGGCCGAGGGCATTGCTCAACAAACAACGACTTAGAAATTACAATTTACACAAAGTACCAATTTACGCTATACAAATTACTAAATTTAAAGAAATGTGCCTGACGTAAGAGATTAGGCCTATAAATGCAACACGGCTAACAAAGATCTAGGCCTATATACCACACAAAGTAGATTTGCGTCTATCAACATATGATGCGCCACCACAAGAAACGCGTCAAAGCGAAATGGATGGAATGATGCTATGAAAAGTGACGAAAGTGAATCTGGCTTTGCACGTGTAGGCTCTCCTTTCGCCTGGCACGGGTTGCCTTTCGATTGGTTGAAATCATGGATATGATCCACGTGTCATCCCTTGATCTCACCCTTTGTATGTGTCATTCCATTCTGCAAGAAGGGACTCACAAAGACTAAGAGGACAATATTCAGAATATATAGTCATCAAATGAAATGGGGACATATTGCAAAATAACATGGGGCAAGATGTGTCCTTCAAATGAGATAAAATGAGGACACGACATCACTGCAAACTTATGTCTGCTTACCAGGGAGCACGTGATAGTATTAATGCGTCTTAATGCCATATCTTAATTCTTGTTTTTATTTTTCAGTTAAGTTTCGCCTTTTCTTGTTCCACTTTGACATTTCAATGATTGAACCTAGAAATCAGCGGGGTCCGTACTTTCTCGCTTTGATTCTCTGCGATTTTGCTAGCCTACCTTACAAAAGTTTGTAGTCCAGAATTAGCACCTCGCCGGCAAAAATTCAGCTTCGTCTCTAGTCAAGGTCCCCCTCAAAGAGATGTCGCGCCATCCTCACGTGGTCAAATATTTACAAATCTTGGCTCATAAGGAACAACTTGGACTAGCTAGTCAGGAATATGAATTTTCACTGACATTGGCTTCACTCTAGTCACTGCATCTTAATATAATACAATGACATTTTATCGGTAATCTGTATCTAACGATATCAGATGAAAGCAATATATGACCTACTGATGACCAATATTGGAAGGACACCTGAAATGCACCATACACTAAGCATGTATAGTGATTAAGGGCTATTCAATCCTCTTTTACATAGGAAGGTTGAACATGTCTAAATTACATGATTTTATCAAACAAAAAGGTGTTACAGTGAATGTAAGCCTATTTCCCCCTCTGGATTGGGAGTGGGAGGATTGCTACAAAGCACTGAGGTCCCACCCCTTGTACGGTAATACCTTGCAATATGCGCAAGATGCGTTCCTGAAAAACCAAGCATATTGTGAGGTATTGCTGTAGGTGGTTGAACTCTCCATGCGCTGTTCTTGGTGTACGTGTGTAGGGTTACTCTCTTCAATGGGATCTCCCCCTTTCGTGCTCTCGAAACCCAATTACCTCTCAGTCGCATTTTTCTATTGTAGGGTTGTGATGTTATTTTCTTTGATTTTGAATAGTTTATTAGCCTTGGTATTCCTATTTCATTATTCCCATTAGAACTAGGTAGATCTCTTGCTTTTTGTGATTTCTGTTATTCTACAACTGCAGTAGATAAGGTTCTCTTAGTACATTTTATAGTGTAGCAAGAAATTAACACTCCAAATCAGTTTAAGAAAATTTCAAACTTAGGCTCTTTTAAATTAAATGTAAAAATTTTTAATTTAAAAAATTTTAATTTTAAATATAAAAGTTTAATTTAGTTTAATTAAAAACTTCCAAATATAGAGCATTTGCTACAGAGAAAAAAATCATGAGCAAAAATTCTCATGAATCTTTGTTTCTCACAAGATTCATTAAATTAATACTTGTTTGAATTTTTTTTACTACACTTTATATTTATAAATGCCTTCCTTGGAATCAATTCTTAGGGTTTGAATACAGAGATATAGACATTGGGATAGATTTTTTCAGTATTGGGTATTGGTCAGAATTCAATATAATTGCATGTCAATCCTAGTGACCTTGCTTGTCCTTTTCAATGATACAATGTGGTTTACAGGAGCAAGTTTCAATCAGCATGAAGACAGTACAAAGGCAATTTGGAAATGTATTAGTTGAGTCTGAGTTCACTTTAGGCCTAATTGCAAATACCATGCTCATATTTCATTTCAAAGGAAAACCCACCAGTCAGCTGAAAAGTTTTAAAACTCAGTTGTGAAACATTTACTTGTAATATTCATGGTGCAAATTGGCTGTCCCTCAAAGCTTGAGTGTATCTACATATAGATCTTCATATACATAAGCATAAATATAGTGGATTCTGCTTTATTAGCGAATCTTGATTCCAGGTCAATTTGCCCCCAATATAGCAGCTGCCCTGATAATGCAAACTTACTTTCTGTTACTTTAAGGATTCCATTCCTGACAAAGTGCCCCTATAATCTGGCTGCTCCCATTAACCAATGGCCAAATAATGCAGAATCCATTGTATATGTCTGGCAACAGACATTTGTGCAGATATGCACCTTTAATACTCACTCTGACTTCCTGCTCATACAGGTTCACTCACAAGTAAGGCCCCTTCATTCTGAACTACTTATATAAATATCAACTTACCAGGAGAGGATGAAGCTGTGGCAATGCCCCATGCCTCGCATCATATTTAGATCATGGAGTTCATCTGTAGCATCCCAAGGTCATCTTTTGGATAGATGCAGCATAAGAGCAGCTGCAACTCTGCCCTTTGGCATCCTACATAGCCCCACCAGGTGCCCAGAAATTCCCAATATGCTTAGTCCTAAACCTACTTGTGAAACTTGGTCTAAAATATCATACTGTATTTTTGACAAAGCCTAATCTGATTGAATAATACTAGATGGGGATGGGGCTATTATTCCTATTGGATATGGCTCAATTGTGACTTCCCTTTGAAAGAGTGCATGAAATATTGTCCTCAGTGTTTGAGTACAAGTGCTCTACTAAACATAGTGAAAAGACATTGGCCTACTAAAAGGATTAATAGTGAGCCAAAACATTGAACACCCAAAAAAACTGAAACCTATGGATTTTTCTTCAGAAGCAGGTATGGATCCTCAGCATCAAACCATAACTCAGTGCCTTCGGCATATACATCAAAGAGTCTAACATCAAAAGAAGAGAGACGGGAGTTCATGTCTCTTTTTCCTGACATAGTGCGGGATCTTACTGCTGATCCTGAGCGCATTTTACCTGATGTTGAGAGATGGTTCAGCAAGGTATGGATACATTGCATTCTTACATTTGTTTCAATATGAAATCACTATTTTCAAGCCCAAATTTTTATGGGAAATTGGAAATCACCTTTATTCCAGCAATGACCTGCCATGTGGACCATAATCTTACAGGTACTACAATATAATGTCCCTGGAGGAAAGAAGAATCGTGGTATAGCAACAATGACTGCCTATAAGAGTCTTGCATCACCAGGTGACCTTACTCCAGAGAATCTTCACTTAGTCCACATTCTTGGCTGGTGTGTCGAAATGGTGAAGATACTCCTTATCCATTGCTTGATATTTCCAGCCAAGTTCCCAATTGTCCCAATAATTGATCTTGCTTCTTGTAGATGCACACCTTCTTTCTGATTGTGGATGACATTGCCGATGGAAGTGAGCTACGAAGAGGGAAGCCATCTTGGTATCGTGTCAAGGATGTTGGGCTGAGGGCCATCAATGATGCATTTATGATGGAACAGGGAATCTACTATCTTCTCCGCAAGTACTTCAGAAACAAGCCATACTATGTTGACATCATGGAACTCTTCCATGATGTAATTCTAATAAATTTGACTAAACTTTCTCAAATTGCACAGCATTACGGACTTGAATTATGATGCTGTTTTCCTTCAATTGCAGTGCACAATAAAGACAACAGTTGGCCAATGCCTCGACCTCCAGAGTGGTCGTGATGAGGAAGGCAACATTGACCTGTCCAGTTTCACTATGGATCGATACACCAAGATGGTCAAATACAAGACAGCTTATTACTCATTCTACTTGCCTGTTGCTCTTTCCATGTTTGCTGTGTGTTCATCCTCCTCTGTTCTATTTTATTCATGCTTTCCATTCTTATCAAAGGTTTTTCATTTAGGCTGGAGTGCAAAATCCAGAATTGCTCAGGCAAGCAAAGACTATCCTTTTGGAAATGGGGGAGTTCTTTCAGGTCCAGGTCAGTTTGTCAAGATGTGCATGCTCATTTTGCTATGTATCTCAGAAACATGGAACTTGAAAATAGGATGATATTAAAATATATTTTTTAAGCAGAGGGAATTGAATTATGAATCAAAATAAATAAAAGGAAGGTTATAAAGTCAATCTGATTGAGGCCACAACCAAAGTATAGGAGAAAATGAGGAAATCACAACAGGTTATTTTGCTAATTCCATCTGGACTGAGGGGGGGGGGGGGGGGGGCAGAGGCACTGTTAGACGCAACTCTTCATACATGCATTTTATCCTCTCCACACATGCTGGGTCTTTGCGTCCATATTTCTCCTGTCATAAAAATTATATAAACAGAGTCACTGTACTTGGAACTTCATATAACTTCAACTTGGTGCAAGACAGAAATGAACATTTCCATGCAATATGGATACTAGTTTCCTTTGTCTCCATCTTGCAAATACCTGGACTTTTAAACTTAAGCATTCAGATGTTTCAAGGGCTTTAAGTAGCTTTTAGATTAAACAAAATAAATTTGAACTGATATTTCTTGGACTCTTGAAGTCAAACTCCACTGTAAAAGTTGAAAGTAAGGTCATTGAGCATGGAATGTTGCCAATTATTTTCATGGGTTCAATGCCTTCTCAGGATGACTACTTGGATTGCTTTGGAGATCCAAATATAACAGGAAAACAGGGGAAGGACATTGAAGATGGGAAATGCAGCTGGCTGGCTGTGGTAGCACTTCAGAGAGGCATGGCACCTCAACGCGCCATCATGAAGGTAGGCTTTTAGGAAACCTGTCAGCATCATCATTCCTTACTTGTGACTCATGTTTATATAATTTTTATGACAGGAGAAATATGGACGCAAAGACCCAGCATGTGTGGAGAGGATAAAATGCATGTATGAAGAGTTGCGTCTTCCTAGCGTCTATGAAGCATATGAAGAGCAAACCTACAGAAGAATTTACCAGGAGATTCAGCAGACATCAGTTGGAATTCCACAGGCTTTCCTCATGAAATACATGACTAAGTTATACAGGAGAAGGGAATGAGGTCAACTGTGCTATTTTGCAGATCAAATATTGACTGATATCTCAGACTGCACATCATGTCCTTATAGATAGAGAAAAGGATGCAGTTGGGGGATGAGTGACTTTTTCCATTCCATGGAGAAATGAAAGCCTGTAAATGTTTGAAGTCTTGAATGGATAATATGCTTTATTGTTGAGGAGCATTTCTTCTGGAATGTTACAGTGTCTAGTCTTGCTCTGCATCCAAACCTCATTTGAAGTGGTTAAAAAAAAGAATTCACAAGGAATGCAATTCTTCTAAATGAAAAGTACTAATCATTCTCAACTGTGGTGGGGGTACCAGTTTAGGAAGAAATAATGGGCTAATAATACAAGAACAGGTCAGGTAGGAAAATCCTAGTGTCTTCCCAAAGCAGATGTGACGAGCTTGCCCGAGGACAAATGTGGTCTCCTTGACAGGCTTCCAATTAATACTTTCAAAAAACTGCAATATTTTGTTTGAGCATGGAAATAGTCAACTGAAGGTGTTCTGATCAAGGGAACTTTAATGTTCTCCATTTTCATACATTGATTCCCCTCACAATAGAGAGCTATGGTCTTAGTCATGGTTGCTGGTCAAAACAAATATTTAAAAATATCTTGAAAATCAGCCTGCTCTAGGCAAGGATGCATTTACCCAGGCAGATTCAATGGTGCACTGTTTAAAAAAAAATTCAACATGAATCCCCTCCAACCTAACTGTAAATATTAGCCTTTGTTATGTATGAACTGTGTTAGTATATGTGATATGTGCTGTTGGCATGACAGTAAATCTGTTTTTCTTTTTTACACAGGTTTTTATTTCGATTCATGGAATGATCACGATACTCTCACTCATGAAATAGGAGATTGCTATGATATATGTTGCACAAGGGGGGAGGGTCAGATGCTGTAATACTCAAAGGAGGGTGTTCTAGAAGAGGACCATGGAGGGGTTTTGGGAGGGGAGGTGGGAAGAGGTACATATAGCTCAACCTCTGGCTGAAAACACATGGAAAGTATCATGGGAGTGAGATGGGAACAGAGACAGATTTGACTAGCAAGGTCATCTTCATGAAATCATATTGACACATGAGGCTGGTCACATGTAGTGGCCTCTAACTTATAATCATTCATGCTATACCTGATAGGAGGTCCTACGGTTGGCCATGAACTGCCACACTGAAATCACCAGAGTTACTATGTACAGGCAGGCAGCAATCCAACAGTTGTATGCATTCTGTAAAAGAGAGGAATAACCCACAATCATCAACCTCCTGCCACTATAGGGAAACATCACATACTATTTACTCCTATTGGACTATGCATGAGAATTCATTTAACCAGTGGCGATGGGAAAATTCTCATACAGCCAGTATTAAAAATACATATTTTTTTTTGCATTCCATTAGCACAACGTGTCTCAATCATGCAGTTCCCATAAATGGAAAAGATGTGAATCACCCTCTTTAGGATGAGAATGAATATTCTCCTGTCAAAAGAGTCAGCATGGTTGCATTCATTGGTTCTTCCTGAATTAAATTCTTTGTTTAATTGAAGATCTAATTGCTGTCATTTTGCATGTATCATACATGATCTTATTCAGAGGGTGTGAATATAATCCAGTTGCTATCTCTATTGTTAAGTCTTACAGGAATATCACTGCAACTGGCAAAGAAATTCTGGGGAAATTAGTCAAAACCCCAATGTAGAGAATCTGCAAAAAAAATTCACTCTGCTGTTCAGGCAACAGTAACATATCTACATATGTCATGCAATTTTGAAAGCAACAAAAATTATTACAACTTCCTCCTGGTTCAGGAAAGAACACAACCTCTCAAATGCCTTTCCATTCATTACCAAGCCGTGGCCTCTAATTTTTATGGACTATTAGCTGAATAGAAACATTTTTATTTCTCAAGTTATGGCTTCTTATGACATTTTATTTTTAAATTGTATTTGTTTATTTATTTATTCATTCCTATTAATATTTTATTAATTATTACTATGTATAGTCAATAATATTAATATCATTATTTAGAACAAAGAATGAGTTGACATTCACTGGCCTGAAAAATTACAGGAAAAAAACTCACTTAAAACCTACATAGCTCTGCACTTTCTGAAGCCATTCTTACAAAACTTGTATTATGCATAGACTGATACGATCTCATATGAATTTAAATTAAGTTTCATGAGGCTCTGGGAAACATATCAGCCTATGCAGGGTGCAAGTTCATGAACACAGCAGTTGAAAGAGTAGTAATTTTATAGTTTGAAGCTTGGGTGGACCTTTTTTATTGTACTTCATATACAGGGTGTTCCACAAGTCAATTTACCAAGGTGTTTTCAGCTATGCTAAATTCTTATTAACTTTATTAATTTAAATGCCAGAAATAAACTTTTAAATGTACATCTTCCTTTACCTAGAATGAAAATAAAAACTTTTAACAATAATGGTGATTAGTAACAAAAACAATATCATGTATCATTACCTAAATTAATTGAAGTGAGAAGAGCTTAAAATCCCTAGGTAAACCAATTTATGGAACACCCTGTATATTGCCTATATCAGATGCAGCAAGGAAAACTTGAGATCTAGGCTTCTTTTGTACTTCAATGTCCCAAAGCTTAATGGCACCTGATATCCTCTGAACATAAAAATCATCCCACCTGTCTGTAATTGCTGTCCAGCTGCATGTAGAAATGCTCAAGAGTGTTTGATTCTACCTCAGGAAGGTCTTCAAACAGCCCCACACTCTTTATATAGAAGAGTATCCCCAACACTCCCTGAAAAGACAACATGAGACGCATTTCATCAAGCACTCAAGAGAAGACTATTCTACAGTTTATAAATTTTAACTTCAGAGCAAACATTCTCAAGGGCTTAACAATAAGTCCCTATTTAAATGTTTGCAGCAACTTGTACATAATTTCAAATATGTTGTTTAATTTTAATGATTATGGAAATAAACAGCAGATGGTCTGGTGCTTCCTTCTTCTTAGGAGCAACATTCCTTGAAAATATATAGGCTAGCCATTAAACTTTTAAATGAGGAATCACTAAATACTTATAACAAATATACTTCATACTCAGGGCATTAAGAATATTTTTTTTGCCTTACATATACGATGTCAGGACGATGAGAACTTTGATTTATGTCATACTGCTGTAAAAAACCATGATGATGCTAGGGCAGATATTGTCATTCTGTACAAGTTTGTCAAGACTACCTTGAGATGATTGATTTGCATCATTTCCCAATGGTTCTTTTTTTGTTTTCACACATTACCTGATAGACCAAGCAGCAAGCCATGGCAGTGAACTAAGCTAATGAGAAGGCTCAAGAAGTAGCAGTCCCCAAAGGTTTTCCGCTGGTGATATGGATTGGAGTTAGACTAGTGCGTCTAAGTGGAAAACCTTTGGGGACTGCTACTTCTTGAGCCTTCTCATTAGCTTAGTTCACTGTCATGGCTTGCTGCTTGGTCTATCAGGTAATGTGTGAAAACAAAAAAAGAACCATTGGGAAATGATGCAAATCAATCATCTCAAGGTAGTCTTGACAAACTTGTACTTTGTAAGCCAGTAGGCCTCAGGTGGTTTGCCAAAAGGATAACCGCTGTCCAGGCCTACATCATTTGATCATGTCCACTTTTATAAACTAAATAATCTTTAAAGCGAGGTTGCACCCAAGAAAATTCACAAAAAAGAAGTACAAGACCTTCTCAAGAGTTAGAAAGCCTACTTCCCTTCCTCAATCTTCAATTTTCCAAAACACAGGCACGAGTGTGTCCAAGTCTTTGCTTTATGTTAACCTAGAGCCAAATGTAGAGCTTACCAGCTGGAAAATTCCCCATCCGCTGATGAGGGAACAGCAGACGGAGAACTTGGGACCCATGAACGGCATCGTGAAATTCCAAGGGGAAGCTCTTCGCTAAGCCAAAAACAAGACAAGACGAGTTGGAAAGACAAGGTGCAACAGCAACTCGACGGACCCGTCACTGTGACACCTGAAGAAGCCTTCGAGAGCCCGGAGGGGCGCAGATTCCCTGGATCATATGACTTCGGACCCGTGTGACGACATCTTCTCGTGGCGTCACGGGGCATCCTGGCTCCCTTGCGTACGTCGTCTGCTCGGAGGCGGAGGGCATTCCGCAAGCGGGTCGGGCTCTTCGCGGCAGTCGGGCTTCGACGGTGGCGAACGAGGCTGGCTGGACGAACTGATCTGCTGGGATTCCGTTTTTCGGACGAGGTCGCGTCTCAGTTTATTTTGGAAGTATTGGTGTAAATTTGGAGGGGAGGAGCGTTTACACGAGCCAAAAGAAAAAAATTTAAGATTGAAATGGGTCCTTCCCGCCGAGTGCGGGAAATCGCGAAGTCCCCCGTCTCCCTAGATTCCTGATCGCTCGCCTGGGACGGGACGGGCAAGGAGAGATTGTGAAAATTCTGGGAAATGATTTTCGTGCTTGAAGGGCCCCCTTCTGCTGGGTGAGGCTTAATGTGAAGGTCGAATGTTGTCCAACGACTTTTCTAAGCCTCCGAGAATCCAGACGAGTTTTATTTTTCTTCTTGATCCTAGAGCATTGGAACCAGACGGATAGGACTTTTCGTCCCGTGCAGGCCTCTACTTCGTCCTGGTTGTCCCTTTCACCCTTTCATCCATGTATGAAGCGGAAAAATGAATAGAGGAAAGAATTGATGTAAGATGCTCCTTCCCACGATCATAAGGGAATATATTGCTGTTCTTGCCAGTAAAATTCACGTTTGTGCTTGCATGAATTCCGAAATCGGCGCTCCTTCATCGGTCCCTCTCGGACCATAAGTACTGAGCTATTAGTACCGACAGTATTGAGAAATTCTGTTGTGAAATGTCAGAAGGACCTAAGCCAATACAGCGTAGCGTGCTTTTGGACTATCTAAGACGACGCAAATCCTGAGCGCTGAAAATGGGATCGGAACGCCCAGATGATGCCCTAAAAACAAAATCTGCTAACTTGATTTTGACAGGCAGGTCTGGGATATAGGGGTTTCGTTGTTTTTTTAATTATTATTTTTTTATCACACCACTATACTTCAGGGATAGGAGGGGAGGGGGAATAGAATTACCTCATTTCTTATATCCCCCACTGCCCCCTTTACTAAATTAGTGCCGGGTGAGAAGGGGGGGAAGCAGGGCCGGCCTTAAGCATGTGCCACATGTTCCCCTGCACAGGGCGCAAATTTACCAGGGGCGCCAAAACGTGCCAGAATGGATGCCACCCTCAGTTTAACTTGAGAAAGTGGAAATGCCTTCCGCTTCGACGTCTTTTTGGACGCTAGGAATTGACCTTTCCGTCTGAGAGGCGGGGGGGGGGGGGGGGGGGGGGCCCCCCCCCGGTGCTGGCGGCGGGTGGGGGGGGGGGGGGGGGGGGGGGGGGGGACACACTCCTGGTCCATGGCAGACGGCCTTTGTGGGTCTCTGGAAAGATTCAGCCACACGGTTATGATAGCGATTCTCGACTAATGGGTTTCAGCGTGGTCATGTGTTGAGTCTTCTCAATGGAAGGGTCCATTGGAACAGTTCACTACACCCGAATTTTTCTAGCAACCATGCACCTGGGGTGAAAATGAAGCAAGAAATATTTTCGCGACGATGTCGCTTTTCTTTGCTCGGGAGTTTCCTTTTTCTTGCTTTACTCAGTGAATATGGGTCGGGGAAACTTTAACGGGAAACTTTCCCCTCCCTTGGGCAGAAATGGAGCAAAATAAAGCAGGTGAACAAAGGAGTCTCATGCCAAGCCAGTCATTTTGTCGATGATGAAATGGCGAATGTGCAATTCCGAAAAGTTTAAGGGAGGCCGCAGGCAAATAAAAATAGCAAATAAATTTTCAAAATTGCATGTTCGCACTTTTGTCATATTTGTCAGAATTATTTCCTAGTAGAGGAACGAGTTCCAAACTTCTATATTCACAAGGAGAGCGTGTAAACCAATGAAGGACACCCACAGGCAAGCAGCTTCATGTTTCAAATGTCATCACCACAGTAAATGATAAGGAAAAAAAAGCGGTTGTAGAAATCAGACAAAATTGGTTTATTTCCTAGAAACAATTTCGTCAATGATACATGAGATCTCGTGTGGGTTTGCCACAGCCGTGAGAGATACAGAAGACGTTTCCATATACGAAAAATTGTGCAAAAGATCTTCAGTTGCAACGGACAGATTGCTTGATGCCTCGCTGTCTTCAATGTGGGCATCACTGAGTGGCAGTTGAGGCTCGAAATCAGTTTTGAATTCAGTTTCGACATGCACGAAGTCAAGCCAGATTGCAGAATCGTTCAACAACGAGGGATCTCTGTCAGGATGACTGGCTCGTTCCGTCGACAGAGGTTCGGATTTGTCCTCTGCTGTGATGGACAGTTGAGAGAAGTAGGACCTGATATCCCTAGTTGGATCTGCATTTTCTTGTACTTTACCCATTTTCTTCCTTCCCTCTGTGAAGGAGGAAAGTGCAAATAAAAAGAAATAGAAAAGCAAAGGAGCAAGGAAGAAAAGGAACAACATAATTAAAGACTTTGGGAAAAATGCGTTTTGTAGAGAATAAGGTAAAGACAAAGTTTTGCGTACTGGATCTGGTTTTGTTCTTTTTCTTTGCCTCTTGCTCAGAGAAAAACGTCTGAACGACATATTGATGTTTTCTGAGGAAAAGCTCTTGAGGTTCAACTGTCATCACCTCCCCTTCAACAAAGGACAATTCTCCTCCTGGTTCCCATGTGATCTGGAAGCATCTCACACCCTTCTTCACACACTCTTTGTTGATGCGCACAGGATGGAGAAATTCACTGCCAGAGGACCTCTCACTCAACATCTGCCACCTTGTAAGGAGGTCCACCACCTTCTCGGAGCTGTAGTCCTGCTTCCAGCTGAGTCTGCAAGAGAGGAATTCCTGCATGGGATGCAGAACACCTTAGGCTTCATGCCCCTCAACATGATTAGGGGGTTAAAAAATGAGTCATGATTAAACCATGAGCATGGAAGGTGATGGGGGAGACCAGACAAATGCATCAGGAGGGATGTGATGAGGTTCATGATCCCCAAGGAATTCTTCAATAACTCCTCCATGAGGAAATTCTGCATCAATGAGGGCCTTGTTCCGTATTGTGCATTCCAGTGCAAAGCGCTCCAGTGGTCTAGATAGATATAAAGACCTTTCTGGGCCCTCTGGCTGCTGCATGCATGAAAAGCATAACAGGCAGATTCCAAACTCACATTTGAGCCAAGTGAAAGTCACAAGGGCAAGCTCCAGGAAGGGAACACCCAGGACCAGGACAAGAACAGAGTGAGACAGAGCAGCCATTTTTGTTGTGATCTTTCTTGTAACCTAAATGTTGGCAGGCACTGCAATGAGGCCCCATCTTCTGACCCAGTCCCAACTCGGCCATAAAGAAAAAAGGATCTACCCTCCAGCTACACAACCTACAAGCATTGAGGAAACAAGAGAGATGATAGATGGCACTCTGCCAGTAAAGCAATGTCAAATTCTTTCTGAAAGGGATTCTGACCGTTGAATTACATCTGTGTTGGAAGCAAGGTCTTCAGTTAGCAGTCGAAGAGCTAGATCCTTACCCACGCCACTCACTCCATTTGGATGATAATCACAGCCAAGGAACAGTGCAAGGGCTACAAGTCGTTGTCGATCTAAGCCAAGCTTCTCCTGAATGTCTTTTGCTCTGTAACAAATGGCTTTTGGGTTCCCTTCCACTGCACTCAGGTCACGATAGACAGTTGTGGCACCATACAGAAATGCATCGCTGTCCTCTGTCACACACCCATCCACTAGCTAAGGGTATAAGTGCAAATTCTGATGTAAATTCATAAAATATATGTAACAAGAGGGGGTGTAAAGCTTTCTTTGACTCACTCCATGCATGTTGAGCCATGCACACAATGCCTCAGCTTCTCCTTGACTCTGAACTACAGGAATACCCATTGCATCCAAGAGTTTCTTACACTGCAAAGAACATCAAGGGAAAAGTCACAATGTAATTTGGTCATTAGCAAATGAACCAACAAGGCCCAAAATACAAGAAAAGCAAACCTGAGAGGCAAGAGCATTGAGTCGAGACCTGACTCTAACTTGTCCCGAGTTCCCAATTCTTTGTCCGACTGTACCCTGTTTCAAGTCAGGAACTCTCCCATCCAGTACAAAGACCAATTTGATGCCCAGCCGCACCAAGACACTGGCACGAAAATACAGCAGCCTATCAGAAGGAGGAAAAACCATCACTCAATTATTCCTTTTCCATGAAAGACAGAAATGACAAAAAAAGATGCCATATGCAGACTTGAGATACTGAAGATTGTGCTTGTAAGTGATGTTTTGCGTTTCTACAATCCAGCCACTGAGATCGATGGCAAGTGTCCGACCAGTCAGGGTCCACAGGGGACATTCTTCCCCCACAGGGGACAGGATACTCCACAGATCCTTGATTCCCATTCTATCTTCTTGGATACAGATGGGCCATCACAACCTGAATTAATTTCATGTCTGCATCCTCCCTCTAAGTTTTCTTCTCCAAACTGCAATGGGAATCGGAAATAAAGATTCCCAATTTCATGCTGAACAACAGTGGTCCAAAAAGAAAGCATTAAGGGACTGTTAAACCAGAATTTCATTCTGTCAAAGACTGTACAGTTGTCACTCAATTCTCTCCTGCTCAGCCAAGAGGCTCTCCATCCAAAAAATTCACTTTTGACTTCATCATGGATTAATTATTGTCCCACAGGGTTTACAAGCTTAGGATTCAAGAAATTTATCTGCAAGCGGCCTTCCTTCAGATACAATGCTGATAACACCATCTGGATCATATTCAGATATGAATGGGGGGACACCCTTGCACAGATCATATTAGGATCCACATCTCTGGCATTTCAAAGATGTCAAGTTTCAAGCAAACTATAAAAACAAATGATGCATGAGCATTATTATAAGGATGTGCATATAGTACACATACAGAACTGAGAAGGAAACAACGAAGAGGCAAAACAGAGCAGTTTTAGACAAAATGGTGCAGTTTTATTGCCAAGAAAGGTGGTAATGCATGATGGAGGGAAGATCGAAACCTGAGGATGGCAAAAGGGGTGAGAACCCCAACAATCAGGCCAAACCATCCAAGCTTCCCAAGGCCACGTCTGGTTTGTCCAGGTATCTCATCCACGATTTGATAGTCCACATTATCCTTCACCTGCAAAGCAAAGGCTGAGCAAAACCTCAGAACAAAACTGGATGGATGGGAGAGATCCCTTGGACCTACTCTGAGAAGGAAGCTATGGAAGGCCTTCAAGCTCTTGGAAAGAGATTGAGAATTATGAACAGCTGTTTCTGTCTGTGTGATGAGGTGTCTCACATCTGACACCTCCTTCCCCAGTTCCAAAATCTCTGGATGAGTCTTCACCTCACGCTTGAGGTATAGGATTGTATTATCAATGAATTTGAGGTGCTTCCCAATGTTTGCCAACATTGCTACAGAGTCTGTGCACCTGCAAATTTCATGCCACCATTGTACCACTGCAACACTGCATGCCAAGATGCAACAAAAAAGAGGCAATCTCACGTGAGAAAGGGTATGGGGCCATCTCCAGTGGGACGCACCTGAAGGCTCTGCTTCTCCCAGTCTTTCTTATGAATCTCATGAATGGCTTCAAGAAGCTTCTTCCTTAATCCCACTTCTGTGATGCCCATTTTCTCCAAGTCAGTGTCAGTGAAGAGTAAAAATTCATCTAAGGTAACCTGGTGTTTCTTGAAGAGGGGAGACAAATGAGACACCTCCAACCCAGAAAGAACCATATCCAGTTCTGAGATCTCTTCTGCTCTCACACTAAATTCAAGGAATACAAGATCATGCAAGGACATGTAAAAAACAAAGAGGGTGAAGGCCAATATGACAGTCTTGCTGAGCCTTACATGTAGGCAGAAGGGGAAACAGTAGTCTGTCCTGATGGCACAAGACCAGAAATACATTTTAAGTTTTCCTCCTTCTGAATGGAAGCCTTCTCTTCAAATTCTGTCAAAACCTGGGACAACTAGTGCAAATCATAAAAATAAAAACTGTGAGTCAGCTTCAATCCCATGGGATTAAGAGGTAAAGAAGATTCACCTTTTGAAATTTCTTATCCCTAGCAATCTCTGATGATTTCTGACCATTCTGAGTCACATGATTGGGATCAGCACCAGCTTCAAGGAGTGCTCTGACAGTTGGTCCATGCCCATTTGATGCAGCCCAACATAATGCCTGAAAGACACCCCAATTTCCCTCATTTTTGCCTTCAGCCTCTCTACAAGGGTGGAATGCATGCCTTGTCTCACCGTCCATCTACAATAGTCTGTGTCACTGGGGTTTGCACCAGCACCAAGAAGCACCTTCACAGTGGAAAGGAGGCCATGTCTGGCAGCAGACATGAGAGGAGTGTTGCAATGCCGATCTCCCACCATGACTGCTCCATGCGACAAGAGAAGTTCCACCACACCCAGTACCATCTCTTCCCCAGCAGATGGATTAACCAGTGCCAAATGAAGAGGGGTGAGACCATCTGACACAATGCATAGATGCTGAGTATTATGAGAATTCATCATCCCCCCAATTTGAAACAGTTTTAGTGAATGGAAGGAGAGGAGCAACACTACTTACCAACACCATAGTTGGGGTCTGCTCCACGATCAAGGAGAAATCGGACAATCTCGACCCTGGCATACTGTGATGCATACATGAGAGCTGTCCAGTTACTGGAAAGTTTCTCATTTACCTGCAAACCTGAAATGTATTCCATGCCAATATGGACACATGCAAGTGACAGGACATGTTCCAATTCCCATGCATAGGTGAGAAACCAACCTTGATCAATGAGATTTTCCAGATGCACAAGATTACCAGTTGTGACAGCAGTTCTCATCTCCTCATGCAGTATGAAATGTCTTGTGTCTTCATTATTGTTGTCATTCTTCTCAAACTGATGCTTTTGCATGCACAGAAAAAAGAGTTGAACACTGTTGAACCACTGAGAGTCATCAAAATAATGCAAAGGACTAGTCTCACCTTTGGTTTCAGAGGAAGCTCATCATACATAAAATCATCGTCTGAGTATTCATCCTCATCACTCATCCCAGCTGGACGAGCCATTATCTGTGACTCTTCCTAATCTACAAATTAACTATGCTCAGTAATGTGATATACCTGTGAAGTGGAAAAGGATAGTTTCTGCAGTGGTGCATGCCATTTCCATCCACTCACTGATGCAAAATTACACATATAGAAATAATGTCACCCAAGCTGCCTGCTAAACAGGAGCTGGATTGCAGTTCAACTCCATGACATCAGGTGGCCTATGGACATGGAGCTCCAAAAAAATCATGGAATCACAAAATGATGATGTTCCAATGAAATCAGAGGTCCCTTTACAATGAGGACAGCAGGAGGGAATGCATGAACTGGAGTTTAATATCCCAGAACCAGGACATGGACAAAAGGTCTCCTGACAGGAAAACAAGACAATGGAGCCATGAATGTATGAGCAACCCTGACTTCGTCTTCTTAATTTTGTGCTCATTTCAGTCCGAGCGTGGAATTCCTTCCCTCCACCTAGTTCTCTTGTCATCTGATTTTTCTAGTACCAAATATTGCATCTGCATCAGGAGCACCCTTTGGATGTTGATAGCGTGGTCGACGTTCTCGGTTGAAGTTCGTTGCAGGAGGCTTTTGGATCTGGATCAAAATAAGCAAGAAAATACTTGAAAGAGACAATATCATCACTCAAATAGGATTAACTTAAAGGACATACCAAGGAGATACAAGAAGGGCTGGGCAAAAAATGACAGAAAGAGTTGATGAAATGATGGGGAATATCCTTGAACCAATTTTGAATTTGCCTGTAGGAGAAAATTCTCACAGGCTCATGAAGGACTGATGTTATGAAGTTGTGAGAGGGAGACATACCAAAAGGAAAAGAAGGTGGGTTAACATGGGAGTCAATGTTGTACTCGTTGCTTGGGATGCAGGGGAGATTTCAGAGGGGGATTCAGGGTGATCTGCTCTTTTGATGCATCTGGGCTAAGGGGATGTCTGGACCTGTCTCTAGGCAATTCTCCAGTCAAACCCTGTCTTATCTGTATCCAATGCAGTCATACCTCTTGCATCCATTCTTCAAAATGGGCTTATGCAACCTGTAGCAGTTGACTCATGCCTAACACTAAATGTAATTATCTCTCTCTCACTCAGCAAAGCATGATCGATCCAGTGAGGAGGTATCAGTAGAGATCATATGCTATAAATTGTGCAGCAAACTAATCTTAGAGTTTCAAGGGGGTACTCAAAGTGCCTTGAGCTTGCACTGAATATAAACCAATCATTTTCAGCCTTAAAGGTGAAATTTCCTCATGCCATTGAATTAATCAAAGACTGAACATGAAAGGGCAGTTTTGTTTTTGTCCAACTGGACATGTACAAAGAATTGCATTTGAAAAGGGTAGAAATACACACCAGCAAGGGCCAAAGAAGCCATGTATTCAACCAATTCGAGAGGTACACAAAAAATAGTGCATTACTTATTGTGTAGGTCTCTGGATGAAATTCCAGTACTATATATGTATGCAAGTACCATTACTTCTTAAATGGAAATGAGGCTGTGACAATGCCATTTCACAGATAATAAACCCACTGAGAATCAGGAACGCTATAGGTCTAGCAAGAACTTCTGTAAATTCATAAAAAGGATGGGCTTTCTAATTGCCTGTCCTCCAAGTACATTCTTTGAAATAATTTTTTCAATTTTATAAGTAACATTTAAAAATTGAAAAAAACATTTCTTTAAATTTCTCAGTAAACTCTACATAATGTTTCCTTTATACTCCCTCTGTCTCAAAATAAAACCGGTGTTTTAGTAAAAGTTTGGGATTAAGAAATGGTACCAAGGAATTGCACTAGGAAGGCATCAGATATTAAGCTTGAACTATTCTGAACCCAGCTTCGAAATTTTCAGGGTTAGGGGCTAACTGGAAAGTTGAGAAAAGTGGTGTCAAAATTGTGCCATTTCAGGTGTTTCTGCGATCGTTGCTGGTACTTAGAAAGTGATTGATATGGAGCATGCCAATGCGAATATGGTTGAAGGACGAGTAGACAAAGCTGCCCAAGTTGTCCCTTCGGTCGAAGAAGCGAATCTTGGTCCTGACTGTTTCCGGCACAATCATGGGCGCAGCTAGCAAGCAGAAACCAAATCTAACCGATGAAGAACGTCGAGCAGTGTACGAATGCCTGTTACCCAAGGTGAAGAACCCAGAAAAACCCTATAAGCTTGCCAAAGGTGCCTTGAACGATGTTGCCAAGCGGTTTGGTGTGACACGAGATACAATTTCGCGGATCTGGAAGTGGGGCAGGCAATCTCTCGCTAGAGGGGCAGTTTCCGCGAATGTTTCATCCCTGAAATGAGGCCGTGTAGGAAGCAAGAAGAAGGTTCTCGACATCAATAAGTTGAAAGAGATACCGCTGGTCCAACGCAAGAACATTCGGTCTATGGCCGCCAAGATGAACATGTCCACTGCGACCATTCATCGACGAGTGAAGGAAGGTCAGATCAAGCGTCATTCGAATGCAATCAAACCATTCCTGACAGATGCGAACAAGATCGAGCGCGTCCAATTCTGTCTGTCGAAGTTAGATTCAGAGAATTCACCAATGTTTCAAGACTGCATGAACATGGTCCACATCGACGAGAAGTGGTTCTACATCACCAAGTCCAATGCCAAGTTCTATCTAGCTCCAGACGAGGAACCGCCGCTCTGTACTGCTAAGAGCAAACGGTTTATCACCAAAGTCATGTTTCTTGCTGCCGTGGCCCGCTCTAGTTATGACTCATACAAGAACTGCAAGTTCGACGGGAAGATCGGCATCTAGCCCGTCCGTGTTTAAGGAGCTGGCGAAACGCAACAGCAAGAACCGGCCGCGTGGTACAATGGAGATGAAATGCATCAAGAGAATAGCCAAGGAAGAGGTTAAGAAGATGCCGATTGACAATGTCCTGCCGGTGATCCGCGAGAAGCGGCCTCATTCGTGGCCTGGCAAGACTACTGACACCATTCTCATCCAGCAAGATAACGCTAAACCGCATCCTACTGGTACAGAAACCGACTTGGCTGCAGCGCTTATCAAGGACAGATTCAACGTCATCATGACATGCCAGCCACCAAACAGTCCTGATATGAATGTTCTGGATCTGGGGCTGTTCCGAGTGATAACAATCACTCCAACATCAGCTCACTCAAAAGAACTTGAGTGTCTAATTGCAGCTACCGAGCAGGCATTCTGGATGATGGAGCCAGACAAACTGAACAACATCTTCTTGACATGGCAGACATGCATGATTCAAGTGATGTCTATTGATGGCGGCATACATTACAAAATTCCACATTTAGGTAAGGCAAGTCTGCAACGCAGAGGACAGCTACAGGCGAATGTCAAATGCCCAGAAGATGTCATCGAGCGCGCCAACAAGTTCATATCTATCGATGATTAAGCTAGATATTTACACAGAGGCAAACACAGGTTTCTTTTTGAGACATAAATAATAAAGTCAATACACCGGTTTTATTTTGAGACAGAGGGAGTAGTACATAATTTTAGTACATATTGTTACTTTTCCCTGTAGTTCCTACGGTTCCTACAAACTGTTATAAAACTTTTGCTTCATTTTTCCAGATACTCCATGAATATGTAAACATTCAGCATTTTTCAGTTTCTTACCAACACAAGGGTGATGATGCAACCTGAGTTGATATAAAGCTAAAAGTGCATTTGGATACTTTTCCTCTACTTATGAGATCAATTTTTTACTCTGTAATGTTTTGTCAAAATCCACAAGTGACTCATCTTGAGTTTTATTGAGTAATTGATGTTATGGGAGTTTGTATATTAGTAGAACCATGGTCCCCAGAAAAAAACCTCTGATGAGATGACTTAAATAACATTCTCAAAAACCTTCATCTCACAGTGAATGGTGACAAGAGGCAGTGGATGATAAATAGTTTTCCTCTACAAACTATGCATTGTGTTGAGCACCTCATGATATTTCTGCGATGTTGGGTTTGAATTTAATTTAAGAATATAACATAATAAAGCTTCATGCAGATGAACGGATCTTACGTTCTGCATATCTATTTTCCAATGTCACTTTTGGGTCAGTCAAAGATTAGACCTTCCCACTGAAAAAGATGCTACATGTGAATACAGCTATCCTACCCATGTTCCACCCTGTGGGGTTTTCAATGGGATCAAAGTAAGCACTCAATCTCATTTCATTGATGAGCTATGAATCATGTTAATCTCCAGAAGTTGTCTTCAATGGCTAATTGCTAAAAATATATTGTCTGGGTAAGTACAAAAACTATTTTAAAAACTATATCCATCAAGACTATTTTTGGTACTTTTACTTTTAATTATTATCCATTAAAGTCTACAAAAATTCAAACTGCTTTTGCTTTTGAGAGATGAAATGGGAACATCAAAATTCAAACCTGGAGAAGCATCTCCTGATAGTCTTCCTCTTCCTGCCGTTCATTGATATCAAGGGTAACCCTCTTGATTCGCTCCTTCTCAGCTCGTTCAGCTTCTTCTCGGCTCCGCAAGTTCCGAGCCATCTCGGATTCAACAGGCACATCAAGGCGTTTGCATTGCTGCTTGTTTCCCTTGCGTGTCATCAGTATGAATTCCATTGTCCCTTGTTCCTCTGGCTCTGGAGTTCTTAATTGCTCTAATGTATCCAAGAAGAAATGGTTGCAATCAAGTGCAAGAATACAATCACATCAAATACATAGATAAGCATAACATACTTAGAGCAAGACTCACCATAAGTCTTCCTGGTGGTTGAGGATTTGGCATAAAAAGGTACAGATATGTCAAGGTTGGATGGTTTAACAACATCTCTAGATCGCTCCTGAATGTTTTCTGCAACCATCTTATCAAATGCTGTCATGAAATCTTCATCTTCTGCAGAAAGCGGGGCTTTCTGTGAATCCCGTAGTACAACCCGTTCTCCGTCCTGCTCACGGTCCATGCTTCCATCTGCATCTTCTCCTGTTAGATAGTCTTCACCCTGAAAATCACAAGTAGTTTTACTCTTAACTGATATTCTTCAGAAACAGTTTGATGAATTCTGTACAACAGGTAGGAAGGTGCCACCTGTGTGAGGTCATCTTCTCGATGAGACTCAGAACGTGATTCATCTTCTCCAACAGAATCCTCTTCACCTCTTTCTCCTTCTTCGTCATCTCCTCTTACTGTACCCAAAAGAATAAAACACAGAAGCTGTCTGTAATGACCACCTGTGCATAGCCACTATGACCAAAAGAATGACTACTTTCAGCATGCCAACCCTAACAATCGCATCTTGCAATTTCAATGAAAGTCTCCCAATGCTTCAAGTGGACCACAAAGATTCTGAACCAACAGTTTTCTGATTGATACAATCCCACTTTCAACTTGGAGTGATAACCTCTCTGACCAGGTGCATCAACCATATGATCAATCTACCATCAGAATATGCATTAAGGAAAAAAACTGGACTGTGCAGACAATGAATGTGGAAAATGTAGTCACATTTCAGCTGTAGGAAGGTCAGGACCATGCTGATGATAACATAGGATGGTCCAATGAAGGGTGAGAAAGTCAAAAGGGAGAATGCCTCATGCCAAATAAGAAAAGCATTTTTCTCAGTATACCCTAGTGATGTCTTTACATTGATCTCTTATTGGATGTTGATTTTTGCCTACTGTTGAAGACTATTTTTCATACCTCCATCAGACTCTGACTTCTCATAGCTGTCTTCTCTGAGAAGCCAAATATTACACATTGACATACCATCATCTTCATCTTCTTCATGGTCTCCCTGGTCAGCATAATCCTCTTCCTCAGATATGACAGCCAAGGACAAGTCATCAGTTGGTTTCATTTTCCTCTTCAGAGCAGGCAAAACTTCAAGAGCCTTCAAAAGAAGTTCTTCTTCGAGTTTGTGGACAGCAGCATCAGCCTCTTGTAGAGTGGAGAACAGTGTCAACTTGGGTCTTAAAGCTGAGATGGTGTCCTGAACCATGTATTTCACCATGATGGGGAAAGGACTGTGATCTGCATCACTCCATATTGGGTCTTCCTTCTTGGCCATGTAATATCGCTAAAATATTAAAAGTCACATAAATTATACCATACTTATATCTTCTCACTCAACCATATGATATCCTTCTCTCTATGATATCAGGTGAGCCAGATTACCTGAAAATATATGAAAAAGCAGTCAAGCTTCTTCTTGGCTGCTCCAGAATTGAAGTATTGACCACATGTCTCAAGAAGGACACAGACAAGCTTCAGCCTGAAGAGATGATCTGGAGGATCGAGCTCTCCAAACCGATTGCCTTCTTCACTTGGTCCTCCATTTCCAAATGCCAAGAGCATGTAGAGCACCTATACATTTGGTATATTTCAACTTGCATGAAAAAACTTCTTCCCATGCTGTGAGAATATCATATTGCAAAGGAATAGGTTGCCAGATGACATGGTAGAAGCTGCAAATGCAAGTACCTTTAAGAAATAGATCAAGCAACCTCCAAGCTTTAAAAAACCTAAGAAGGTATGGTTTTTTTTAGAAATGCAATGATATTGAATTTTGGCTCATATCTGATATTCTGATATCTGAAAAAAAAAACCTATACTGATACCGATATCTGTATCCACACATTCAAGTATTAACCCTTCCACTGCTAAGATTTATTTAGGACCAATTTCATGGTGAAAGCCTGAGGTGCACAAAATCCAGTGGTGAGAAGAAATGTATTGTTTATGCTGAAGCCAGGCTCTTCAATGTGGGCTTTAAAATATTACATATTTACATAAGACAATATCTTTACTATGTTTCATTATAGAACTTACAAGAAGTTGGAAGCAAAATTTTTTTTTTTTTTTCAAGAGAAGCACTCAGTAAAAATTTATTTTCTCAAAGTTCCCTCTTTCTTATCTTCTCTGGAAACCCAGAGGAACATGACTGTCAGATTGTCAATGCATCATCAGATGATTTGCCATGCAGATAAAATGTGATAGTAACTGCTGTTCAGGAAAGTTTCTACAGCGATTATTTTATATTTATTATGCTTATATTATAAATATTACAAATCGATTAGGGCTGCACCGATGTAACAACAATCACCAGTATGGGCTGCTGGTGTTGCACCATCAGCCATCAGTAGGGTTGCAAGCTGCCAATGCTGATGTCCGAGGTGGGGCAAAATGGAAAAAAATGAAGTGAGCATGTGAACACTAGGCGCCGGCCCTCCTGTCTCACTGAAACGACTCCTGCAGGCCTCTCCCAGACAAAAATAACAATCTGATTATATAGGGTGTTTCAAAAGTCTGTTCTCATGGGTATTTTGAATTAATTGAATTTCTCAATGAATGAGTGCACCAAAATTAGTACGGAAGTACGAATAAATATTCAGAGGGGGTTATGTGCCAGGATTGATATGTGTATGCAAGTTCATGGCATGCAATTTGAACATTTAATGAAATAAAGGTAAATTAGGAAATCTGCCTATGAGTCTGGACTTTTGAAACACCCTGTATTTCAGCCCGGTTGTAGTAACTGGCAGGGGAAAAGGAGCAGTAAAAAATGGGAAATCATTGCATCTCCTTTTATGCTATGCATTAGCAAGAGATGTGTCATTAAATGCTCTTAGCAGCAGCGACAGGTAACAAGCTTATCACTGATGGACACAGACAGGCTAGACAGGACTAAAAGAGGTCTATTGTTTTCAGGAGACCTACTGATTGTATCGCAAAGCTTCCAAATAGGTATATTTGAATTTGTATGCGATTTCTTTGTTAGGAGAAACCAACGAAACTCAAATGCTTCAGGAATGTGCAACTAGACTTGAACACTTAGGCTAAAGGTATTGGCTACTTCTTGGACTTGCTCTCTGGCAATTGAATGCATCTCCCAGAAGTTGCTCTGTTTTGAAAGTTTCTCTGTTTTTGAAACATCCCATAGTGCTAATTTCCAATGAGATTTCTATAATGTGAGCAAGTACGAGCATGAAATCTGAGTGCTCTCAGATGTTTGATATGAAGCAATTGTGTTTCAGTTGTAGGGTACCTTCATGAAAACTGTTCTACTTAACTAGGGGTTCAACCCCAATTTAGTGTGGGAGTTTCTTCAGGAATATGTTAATGGTAGGAAAATATCCCACCAGTTTGGAAAGATAATTTCGTAAGACATCCCTGAATGCATGTTCGGTTTAACGTTGCAAATTCACAGGTTGACACGAGAGTCAAACAGTACATTTGACTTGTTTGTGCATGTATGCCAGTGGCTCGGAATGAATCAACGCATGGCTTCTCAGCAGCGGACTTCACAGCCTCTTTTTCAATGGAAAACAACTAGATCTCAGGCTTTAATGGATATAATTACCATCATTTATGGATATCCTCAGTCTATTGTTTCTGCTAGCAGGCAACTGCGAAAATATAATAATGCAAATATTTTTTAGATCTAATGTTGCTGTGGTATTGTGGCATACACTAGTCTACATTGGTCATTCCATGAAATGTCGCCCAAAAAGTGGCAAATTCATGTCCGACCCTTAAATTTGGAATACAGGATTCCCCAATCACAAAACCCAGAAATATCACATTTCAGACTCATCAGGCGAGTAGGTCATGTGCTACAGGATGGTCAACATTTAGTGTCACCAACTAACCTCCGATTTTAATAAACCAGGAACTCAAGAACTATCTATAATGAAACCCTAGTTAAATCTGTCGATGCAATGGCTGGTCATAGAACGAATAGGTACGAATAGATCCAGCAGACATTAATCGCAAGGGCTGCTGCCGCTGGCTTTACAGATTGTGGGGTGAGAGGGAGGAATTCCACGTTCGAGTCTTGGAGCACATCCGTTCGACTCAGAGAGTGGTCATTTGAGTCAAGTTGCAACATCCACGATTACAGTGTGTTGCATTTTGGGGGGACCTATACACCTGTTTTTTGTCACTGAAGATTAATTCCTCCCATGACTTGACCCTTGAAATGAGGAAGTTTCAGAGAGGGAGCAAAACAACGTGATTGTCTCATGGGCTGGCCAATTATGTGCTCAAAGTAAAGCAGGATGTGATAATCAGATGGAAAAATAGTTCGAGTTTCCTTAGTTTCCCCTACTTGCTTCTCAATCTATTAACCGAAATTGGTTCTGGCACTGGCACCAGTAGATGGGTATGAGATCAAAGTCAGCCATCGGTCCATCGGCCAAATGAGGTCATCAGTACAGCCCTAAAATTAATTTAAAGATGATAAAATTCTTGAAAATCAGTGGATCCACATGAACATGAAAGGGTTGACATCAGACCATTGTCTAGCGATTTGTATACCTAAATTTTGGAATCCAACTAGGCATAAGTTCTTTGTGCGAACCCCAGCGATGTCTATGGTCACAGAAAGCATGAAGTAGGCTATGGTGGTGGCATTAGGCCAAATTTGTTACATTAAATTATGGATATTAGATGACACCATCTCTCTTGGGTGAGTGACTCAGTGGGTAATGAGATTGGTTACCATGGCAGGGGACCTGGGTTCGAACCTAGTCAAATAAGGTGTATACTTCTGAGCTTGAGTACGGCAACCCCTTAGCACCGAACGCTCCTGTCTCTTGAAGAGGACGTTAAAGAACCCCGGCAGTGAAGGTAGAACACAGGTGGCTTATCCCCAGATTAACCGCTTAGCCCAAATTGAACTGATAGTACGGGGGGGGTTAGCTGGTGCTTCTGAGTCAGGGTGCAGTTATGGGCTAAGAGCCTCGATGCATCCCCATTCCCAGCCCAAAGGGAAATAAATGCTAACATTTTGCAAAGCTTAATACCTTCTTGTTTGATGAAGACATGTCATTTAGGCATTTTTCAACCTAAATGAGTGAATATCCATTGCTCTCCATACATGCTTAGCGTTTGGCTTGCATCAGGTGTCCATTCGATATTAGTTATCAGCAAGTCATATATCGTATTGAATCGATATATCGGTTTCACCCAATATCAGCCAATACCGATAACCAATAAAACATTGTTGCATCTCTAGTTTTTATCACTGGGAACTTTGGGAACAGTTAGACATAGATCTAGCCAGTCAGAAGTCTCTGTCTTCCCTGTCTCATGTACCTCTTCTTTGTGCTTACACAAAGCTTTAACATAGATGAGAGGAACGCAAAGCAAAAAAATTTTTTTTCCTTTAGATCTAGTCAAATGAAGTCATCCCACTTCACCAAATCGAAGTCACAGCAAAAGACATGGGGCAAGGGAAAATCTGTATGCATGCAGCATATAAAATTTCACTGTTGTAGGATCACAAAGAGGGACACTAAAACAACCTGTCCAGAATAATGTCATTTGCAAGCAATGCCCTGAGAATATCTAATCTAAGATGCCATACTCACTCACCTTGAAGACAACTGAGCTCTCAATAAGTCGATAGTTGTAGAGCTCTCCAAGATACTTCATCATGGAAACTCTCCGCTGATTCATCTTTGGACTGTTTACTTCCAGACCCAAACGAATGTCCTCCAAAACTCCATCAGCAACCATTGGTCCAACCATTTCCTGCAAAGAACATGGATATGCTCAAGCATGTTCATATATAACAGGGATTGCGTTTACACACAAATGTGCATCCTATATGCAAAAAATTCTGAAGGGACACACAACAGAAAAACATTGGGGTCCCAGGTACCCTTGCCAAGAAAAGTGTGCAATGTGAACACGATGAGCATGGCACAGGTTGCATTGTGTTCACACACTCAGGACATATTTTTGTTCATTTTAATTAGGGCTTCAGGGCGGTCGAGGCCAACACTCTTCTCATTCAGTTTCAAGCAGAAAATGTAGTGTTAGTTTATTCGAATCACATGTTGACCTAGTCAAACTGAAGGGAAAGAGATGGACATGGGTGATGATGAAAATGGACAGCTTATGAACCATGAATCACAACGAAGGAGAAAAGATTTAAAAAATGGAAAAAGGAATGGGTCAACATGTATCCCTGGCTTTCCTATAGAGATGGAAGCACTTCCTGTGATTTCTGCTCAAATGCAAATAAGAAAAATCCCTTCACAGCATTTGGCAGTTGTAATTTGCAGAAGTTTGTAATTTGCAAATTTGAAGATACCCTAGGGATATTTATGCCAAAAAGAAAATGTTGGAAGCATTCCTAAGGCTGCTGGATTGAATATCATGTTGTTTGGTTATGTTAAATCAAAGAAAAAACATTGACTGCTGGACTTGAAACTTTTGTGCAACTTTGCAAGATTTCATCATGCTTCAATTGCAATGGGACCCCCAACATTTTCAGAAAGACCCTTTCTTATCTGGCCTAAGGGTCCTGGGGACCCCTAAGGCAAGAGAATTTCCGTAATCCCTGTATAAGGTATAAGTAAAACAGAGATACAGAATTCACAGTGGCCTACTTGGTATGACATCAGGCCAGCCAACAAGTTTGCAAGACACCTGATGTTATAATACTTGACATTCCAAGCAAACGTGAGACACTTGACGGCATAAGAAGATATCTCAGGGTCATCCCAGTCCAGTTTCCTCATGTGACGCAAGATCTTCTCTGTGTTGCTCTTGCAAAGGTCTTGGTAGAGGAGTTTTCGGATCCACTCATGCATGGGGGGACGAATTACTCCTGGATGAGATGCCAAGGTTGAATCAGGTGGGTTCACATAGTAGTAACTGTTCTCAATCATTGTCTCATATCTAGAGTCCATGGCTCGAACACTCTTCTTCCTCATCATTTGTTCCTGAAACCAAGAGATAATAAGGATGGTTAGGACAAACCAGATGAAAAAAAAATAGCTAAGGCCTACTTTGTTATCTTGGGCAAGAACAAAAAAATTGAATATTGCTCAAGTAACTAACCAGGTAGATCTTGGTGCGATTATGAGAGTCAGGGCTTCTGAAGAGGAAACGACCACAAGTCTCAAGGAGGTTGCAAGCCATCTCAATATGATGATGAGTGAAGTCTAAGAGTAGCTGCTTCAAATGGTTTAATGCCTCATTCTTGGGGTACATCTTGAATTTCACCATTTCCCCAATGAATCGCACAACTTTCACCTTAGTCTCGATGTTGATTTGATCCTACATGCCAGAGAAACCCTTAAATAGTACTCGAGCCTGAAGCAGCAGTAAAAGACTCAATAAGATAGTCGTGTGCACCTTTTTGCGGACGTGATACCTAAAGTCTTGACGAAGCATTTGAGCAAGATCATTGGCTACATCAGGCATGCATGGGTACAGTATTGCTACAAGGCGACTGTAAAATGGCAGGATGTCCAAGCGAGTCCGATTCACAGTAAATAAGGCCCTGGAATTCACAAGACATGGATTCATGGCAAATGAGATCACTAATGGACATATGTACCATCATTTCAAATGAATATAAATGAAGGGAGGAAGAAAGGACCTACCTCACAAGCTTCCTGCGATTGTGTCGGGTATTGAACTCCATGCAGAACTGGACGGCTGCATTGTCAATCAGCTCTCGACTAATGCAGTTGGGGAGTTGATTAAGGAATGCATCAAGGAGCACACGACTAGCTGGATTTGAGTGTGACTCAGCTTCTTCTGGTTCATCTGTAAGTTGAGAGATTGCTGGTAATTACCACACAACTCACAAGTTCAAGATTGAAAACTGGTCAAGATCATAGTTAAATAGTTAGTGACAAACCTTCAATGTCAGGAGGAAGAATGTCTTCAGGTATCTCTTCAGTTTTCTCATCTCCTTTATCTTTCTCTTCTTTCTCTTCCTTCTCTTCCTTCTTCTCCTCCTCCTCCTCCTCCTCCTCCTCCTCTTCTTCTCCTCCTCCTCCTCCTCCTCCTCCTCCTCCCCCATCTATGGTCTCTACCTCACCCTCTTCATCTACTTCTTCTGCCTCAACCTCTACTTCATTTCCTCCATCTCCTTCAATCCCAACAATCTAAAAGGTATAAATGTTGGTAAGAGAAAAAAGCATTTTGAGAGAATGATATAATGTCTCTTCTTCATCATATGGATACTTTTACTTGATTTTATTTTTTCAATGCAGAAGGCAGACACCATAAAAAATGATAGATCCAAAAATCAATGCCACCATACCTGACTGCCAGAGGGCTTCTCACTGTCCTTGTACAGGATTGAGGGTATGAATGCTTTGAGATCAGGTAGAGTTTCATAGAAGCTCCTTGTTTCCTCATCTTCCCAGAATGAAGAAATGGAGCCCAAATCACTGACTCCTCCATCTCCTGCTACCAGACTGATGCCCACTTCAGCATCCTCATCTTTGACTGAAATATGAAGCCAATTTGATTATAGCATTCACTGGGAGGTAACATAAGCACAGAAGCAGTGGACTTCTTACTCTCTTCAGGGAAATGAGGAAGGTCTTCATCAAGGAGTTCTGCCATTTGCTGAGCATTAGAAAGAAGTTTGGTGTATGCAACAGTCATGCTTTCGTACCTTTCTAGTCGGTCTTGAGGAATTTCTCCTCTTGTTAGCATGAGACGTTTATTCCCTCTTTCTAGGGATCGCAACTCACGATGATCCTGGAAGTAAAAGATTTAACATACCACCAGTCAATACTTTAAAGTGTGATTTCTTCTTTAACAAGTGAAACATACCTTTACAACATGCTTGCACAAAGATTGGAAATATTCCCTGAGGAGGGCCTTCACATTCTTTTGTCTTTCAGATGACAGCACATTACTCTTAGGAACCTCCACTCCATAAGCTGATGCCAGGATTCTTATCTTTCTTGGAATAAGGCCTAGAATTCAAAGCAGTCACCAATAGCAAGACATATTATTCTTATAAATAAAGCACAATACTCACAAAGATATTTCAACAAACCTGCATAGTCTTCTCCACAATGACGACAAAAGCTGAGAATGACACTGACATTTGAATGCTCTTCCTTGTCAGAATTTATTAGATTTGTCAGGACGCTGCCCAATAATGGTAGGCCATCTTTATGAGAAAATACACCCACGGAGATCAGCTCAGCATAAAACCTGAGATCAACTCGCAACTTGCTCAGGTTTATACCTGATCCCTGTATTGAAAAATCCAACCAATTTTTTCTTCTTTCCAGCAGTCATACCAAAGTCAATCAAACAAATCAATATCATCCATGCAAATGTCTTTTTTTAATAGTATGGATAGTATAAAGAGGAAGACGCTTAATTTTTTATGATAATGATTGGCTTCATGCCATACTTTCCATCGCAAAAGCAGGAATAGATCATGAACAGGGCTTGATCAATAACTTATTAATATCTCAGGCCCTCTAGCCAGCACTACTGGGAAAATGTAGGTTCAGGCCACAGAGAGGCTGAACAATTCCTAAGGTTGATGAACATGAAGAAAATCATGTATGTTTCAGAATTTCTATGCATATCTTTTGCTGCTAGTGCAACCAGCAATTATGACTACCCATGAGGCTGATTTGGAGCAGATTTCCTGAATGGTTTCATATATAATGAATATTGCATTGCAATCAAAGGATGATAAAAAGCCAACTGTTTTCAAAGTACAGTAGACACTGCTTATTGTGATCACTGATTACTGTTATCAGCCAGATAATGAGACCAAATCCAACCACCAAAAGTTGCTGCAAATTGTTCTCAGCTGCTTAATGTTATCAAACTTCATTGCACCAAAAAAAATTACAATAAGCAGCATCTGCTAGTCTAATATTTTTTAAAAGAAACCTTTACTTATTCTTAAATTTGGAAGAAGCCATTATGAAACAGAAAGTAGAATGGTATTTTCTTTGACTCCAAGAATGAGAAACAGGCCACAAAGGAATTAGAGCTGTGGCATACCACTGTGTACAACCACTTCAGGAGTAGGAATGGCATACTCAAAAATCAAATGTACCTAATGGGGTGTATTTGATTTCTGAGTGTGCCCTTCCAAAAAAAACTGAGCAGTGGAGGTAAGGAAAGGAGAAGTCATTTGCCATGGCAGATCCCAAGCCTTAAAGTTGTCTAGACTTTCTTGGCTCTTGTCAAGCACATTCCCTGTGATCTTGTCTCATTCTCCCTTTTGCAAGAGTGCAAATTTAATCAGAGAGGGGTCATGTGTGGCTATGTTTTGAATGGGGATCAGGATTTCAGGTGATATTCTCTTTCTCAGCAAGGGATATGCCACCACAGTTTTTTTTTGGAATGGTATATTTTACCCTCACTCAGTTTCAAATTTCTAAAAAAAAAACTTTTGCATCAGTTATGGGTCCTAGGCTGTCAGCACCTTTATTAGTACCACAACATATTACTTACCTTGTCATCTTTCTTCAGAGACAGAGCTCGCTGCCAGTTCTCCAGGAGATGCGTAGCAAAGTCAGAATATCTCTGATGAAGGAGAGAGCAAATGTAGATTGCAGTGGCAATGTCTGCAATCTTCAATTTTGCCTCTACCAAGGCTGCAGCTGCTTCACTGGTATACTTGCTCAAGTTTAACCCACTCATATCCTTCACAAGAGAGTCCCTTTGGGCTTCAGTCAGGTTCTTCTATATATGCAAAGCAAATCATTCAAATAATAAATGACATTCCATGAAGAAACATCCAAGTCAAAAGTGAATTGGCAAAAGAAAAGAAGAAAATATTTCAGTGTGTCACCCCCCCCCCCCCCCCCTCTTCCCTCTTAAATTTCTCAGGTTTGCAATGCCAACTTCTTTACCTCTTTCTAGGATATCCCATGTTCATTATGTCAATCCCCTCATGGATGAAACAGGTAAAAAAATATATAAGTCTTATCCCATGCTCATGCTAAAAGCCTCTCCTGCAAGAATGAACATGATTACAAAAGTAGGATTAGCAGGAACAGAACCCACATCTGTTATAACTGGGAGCAACAAGGAAGTATACTGCTTGGAATCCTTAGTACTCTCCATCACATGAGGACCACCCTGATTCTATTTGATAAGCTTACAGTCATAGGTAAAAGGCCAGCAAGAATACTCAAGAGATACACCTTGGCATCCTTGAAAAACAGTAACATTCATGGCTTTCATGGATAAACAGAGATGTCAAAAAGCATGAATGCCCCTGCTGCATCTTAGAAATGGGACTTGAAATGCTTCACAGGGAAACATGCTCCATAGGACAATGAAGAAGGAATGAAGGTAAAAGACTGTAGTATGCTTGGTGAGAATAATGGAGATCTGCATACAAGATAATAAAAAAACGAGTTTGGGTAATCTACACAGGATCAAGAAAGAGATTGAACTAAAGTGAAAGGAGCTTCATATCTATTCCTATATTCATTTCAAGTCACTGTCTGATTTCACACCTTTGGTCAAGATTTTGTTGTTTGCATAGTTGGATGGGAGTACATGTGACATTTAATGTCATAACATTGTCAACTAGTGTTGCATAGGTAGAGATGGGGGAGTTGACATAATGAATGAGGGAAATACTTAAGGAAGGAAGAGGAGATTGACATCATGAACTGTCTGAAAGGTTCATCATACCAATCGTTTGATGAATGCTGTATTTTTCTTCAAGCTTGAATCCAACTGAACAAAGCGATCTTCAGCTTCTTGCCACAATTCTGGAGCCTTCATATTTCCTTCACGCAATTCCTTCTTCATGGTCAACCTTTCCTCCAGGTCCTTCACATACTCCTCAAGAGTCAACTGAAAGAGACATGTCATTTAGAATGTGCCATGAGCTTAGAGCACCATGACAGGTAGAGGGATCAAAGTGCTGAAGTTCTGAGTAGTGTTCATCAGATGCATACCTCTATTCACACATGGGGTTCATAAGATGCAAATCTCAAAATGAGAAGTCAAAACTAATTGTATGCCAGCCAGACATAGACATACACTTTTCTTATGGCCCTGTTCTCACTCCTCTCCATCTCAATCCCTCATGTACCTCTTGGCTCTTCTTAGAAAACTAAGCAATTTTAACTCTTTTTGCGCTGTGGATAGATTTTTTGACCACATGTACTCCTGCTAAAAGTACCAACAGCTGATTTTTTTACCATGGCTTTTCATTAGGTTTCTTTCTTCATGTAGTTGGGGTTCTTGTTGCCAGATGGCATAAAATCGGCTAACAGCATTTTTGGAAGTAGTAGACATAGCAGAAAAATCGGCCATGCAGCACTAAAAGGGTTGATAGCAACTGTTCAAGGCTATGTTGGCAACAGAAACTTCCAAAGAAGCCACTCTGACACAAAGCCTAAAAGGTTTCAATGCCCATAACTCAAAGAACACAACAATGGATACAGAATTTCCAGATATAATCCCCATAGTCCTGTGAATCCCAACCCTCTCAGGTTTCAATATTTTAAAGTTGAACTGTTGAAGCAAAACCAATGAAATCTGCTTCCTGCAGTTTCTTCCAGTGGCTGTCCCACTATGATTTTGAATGCTCCCACAATGGAGTAATAAAAACTTAACAGCTTTCTTGTTGGTCCCTTCCTCCCAGGAAACACACTGGATGCATATGTGAAGCCCTAAAAGGTGCTGTGCACAAGCAGGTCTAGACTTTACAACAAAAAGTTCACCTACTGTATGATGAGAGCATCAGTTCCACACCTAACTGACATTGGACAGGTCTGCTTCTCAGAGACACACTTCCCATTCATCGCCTGATTTCCAAATATAAATTATCTCCTTTTGATTGTTAATGTGTGGGGGGGTTTTATTTATTTTTTGGCAAACATGAGAAACCTGGTGTGTGTCTAACAGACCCAAGGCAATTCAGGCATGCACTATACCCAAAAACATATTCTAGGCCCAAATTTACTATCGGCACAATTGTTGCAACAGAGGTCCATAAACTTACCCTGTCTTCAGTTGTATTGTCTTCTAAAACAGTGGCCTCTCCTACATTTGTCTGTTCATGAGGAAAACTGCCATCCTGTGTTGAGTTCAATGTTTGGGCTATGTCATCAATTTGTCCAGTATTTTGCATGTTACTTGTCTTTCCGTCACATGAATTCTCATTAGGAGTAAAATCCCCCTCAGCATCAACCTGTTTCCCTGACGTGTCACCGTTAACCTTCTTCCCTACTACTCTTTCTTTTTTCCAGCTTTTCCCCTTCTTCTCCATCCCCTGATGCTCACACCCTGGCAAATAGGATAAATATTAGTAGACTTTTAATATGCTCTAACCAAGAAGATAATTCAAGATGGTACAAGTACAATTAAAGAAATCAACCAAGTTGTAAGTCTGTGATCCTGTCAAAGATATCAAATCAAAAGCCTAATATCATAAGCCCTAACTTTGAATTCAATGTTAGGCTACGCCGAGCAAATCAAATGTTATAGGCTGACCTGCTTCGTAATGAGACAGGAACTCAATGTAACAGCCTTAACCAATCTTAATTGCCCAATAACCACACCTGGGGACTCATTTGCATACAGTGATCATAGATTCCTTGGACTTAGGCAAGCTAAGGAAGGTCGATTACCCAAGTGAAGTTGTACCATACAGATTTTTAGAAGTTGCCAATCACAGGGCTTAAAACGCACGAGACTGGCAGGCCCCAGTAAGCAGTCATGTTCCGTCCATGACGTCACATGGCTCCTCGGGTCGTCTGCTCGCGATCTCAAGCTCTGCGGATCACAAGAAAATTTTCTGACGAGAAAACGACTCTCTCTGACCAGATCGTCTTTTGGGTGAAATATTGACTCCGTGATGAATCTAGCTGCTCCAAATATATTTTAAAGATTTAATAATTGCTAACACAGAACCTGAAGGCGATGGATACCTGCCCCACGAACTATACTCGGACTGTATAGTTGGTAGGTGCAAATACGCCCTGGCACCAGGCTCGAATGGAATTTCCCTTATCTTAGTCGACATAGCTACATAAAAAGACGTAAGCAAAGCCCCACCTCTACCCCCTATCGACCGTGGCATACCCGCGTTCGTCGTCCATCTGCTACGAAGGGCAGCCAGTCGTCGGTGCACGATCCATCAGGACCTCCCCCAGCGCACGTACGAATCTCTTACCTCGTACGGAAAAGCCTGTCCTCCCGAATGCCAGTGCGCATGCACAATAAGTGGCACTTTTCGGAATCTCGCGGAATGAAGAAGACGCTGGTCGACCAATGCCGCTCTCAGACGTGAGAAAGTCGCGTAGCACTCAGGTTCCAGCAGAGGAATGGCAATTTTTTTAATGCTCCGGGTGATTGCATCTGCAGAACGTCGCAATAAACTGATCTGGGGATCAGTGAATTTTTGACATGAAGCACTTGCAGGGTAAGTATTTTCTCTGTGCAATTGTGAACGTAATTATGCGTGACCTCGTCAGAAATACAAGAAATCATTAGACATGAATCCGGCACTGTCTTTCGTCGACTACCTCTTACAGGGTGGGCCATAAATATTCACACCAAATCCAAGTTTTGTATTTCCTGTACAAGTAACTTCTTACGGAATCAATTGACTCTCAAGACACAAGGGCTCAGACAGTGGCGGATACGGGGGGGGGGGGCGACCGCCCCCCTATGGCCAGGTTAGCATTTGATTTATTTATTGAAAATAGCATCTGCATTAAATTTTATTGGAGCCAGTAGAATAGATACTCAAGTTCTTACCCCAGACGAAGAATAAAAAAGACGAAAGGACGAGGAATGGTGATAGACGGGGGGGGGGGGGGGGAAGGAACTTTGGAACAATCTCACTTTTCAGAAATCACNGGGGGGGGGGGGGGGAATAGGAACTTTGGAACCCCCCCCCCCCCCCCCTATGAAAAATTTCTGTATCCGCCCCTGGGCTCAGAGTAACTAGTCATCAAATATGTTCGATGTGTCTCCGTTCCTCTTGGTAACCTAGAATCTTTGAGTCTGTCTGTCGATCGCACCGGACAGACATGGTTTCACTCCTCTTTTGACACTAACATTAACTAGTTCAGGTTCCTGGATTTGTTCATGGCCACTTGCTTCCTGTAGACTTCGCATACCCACACAGCACGGTGATATCCCAGGGATGTCCCCAACTGGTCGACTTGTCCCATGGTCTTTATAGGATATCTTGAAGACATCTTCTTTCGGACAGTTTCGGACAATCTTGTAAGCAGTGGCGTATTTTACGGGGAGGCAGGGGGGGGGGGGGCAGCCGCCTCCCCTGGCGTCCCTGGGACAGAGCATGGCGCCCCCTTGGAGGTAATAACTTCCTCCCCTGATATGGGTCGGGTGGGGTTTGGCGTCTCCACTCTGTTGCCCTGCCCCCCCCCCCCCTGACCTTTCAGCCAAAATACGCCATGTTGTGCTTTAATACGCCATGTTGTGCCATTATGCTTGTAAGGGATGTCTTCGGGACATCTTAGAGACGTCTTTTAGACATTTTCAGTCGAAATCTTAATGATATTCCTTTCGGGATATCTTTAAGACATCGAAAGCTTCTGCATATCCCGTAAGGGATAAAGACGACTTCAGTCGAACGCTTTTTAAATCTTGAGGAGAATGTCTTTTGGATATCTCAGGAATGTCTTTAGGGATCTTCAGTGCTCCTTGTCGCCTACAGTCAGGTGCATACCTTCGGCGGTAGATGTCTCCCGTGGGCCTGATCTCCAACCTCAGATATTCTCTATCAAATTTATCTACTTGATTTGTCCTGAGGATAAGTAAGGATTTTTGTAGCGAACATCAGGAAAACTGCCACTAGGGAAAGGGAAAAAATTGCGGTCCGAATTTCAATTTACTTTGTTATATTCTCATTACTGATGTCTGATCGGCGTCCATTGAAGAAAGGAAGGCACCCGCAAGTACTACACACCCCTGGGACTTCTCATTTGTCCCAAGAGGATATCCCTGGGACATCTCTAGGATGTGCTAGTTCGTCAAGAAAGGGACATCCTTGGGATGTCGTTGCGCCCAGACATTTTGATATCCCTAAGATGTCCCTACCCAAGTAACAGTATATTGATGAAACGTTTTCGAAATGTTGCCTATGTTGCTCTNTTACAATTCTCTAAAACTTCTAAGTCCATGTTGTATCAGAATGTTGTCGCTACGTTGTCGATGTCAAGAGTGTCAACATTCTTTCAATGTTGATAGCTAATGTTGCAATGACATTCGTAGAAGTGTCGCAGCAACATTCCAAGTGAAAACATTGAAGCAATGTTTTCTCAATGTTGTACAGCAACTTGCAACATAGAGCAACATAGGCAACATTTCGAAAACGTTTCATCAATATACTGTTACTTGGGATATCGCGTCCATTCTTATTAAAGGCAATTTGGTGACTGCAATTTAGCCATTGCAACTCTCAGAAATCCTTGTAACGTCATGGCCTTCAATCCCTCTCATTTAGCCTGCAACTTGTGAGTCTGGATGACGGGGTTCCTTTCATTCGACCCCAACATTCCATTAAGGTCTTGAGCGAGTTCCACATCGCGGATATGATCTCTCGTCACGCATTTCATTTCCATTCCCAAGAACTGTGAAGAGGCTGAGGGGCCCGTGCCTTCCCCCCCCTTTCCCCCTTTCCCTCCTCTTCCCTATCCCCCTCTTGAAGCACTTTCGCACTCCAGATTCAATTGTTGGAAGGGTTCATAAAGGTACCTGAAGGCAGCAATGATGGCACGATGTTTGAGTCCCAGCGCCTCACATCTTTGACTCGCTTCGACGCCTCTATCTCGTGCTTCTTCCGCTTCCCTCTTGTGTTTCTACTACACTCTTAGAAAATTCCAAGCGTTTAGGGAGTAAAAAGTGAGCACACCGTGAGCTTTTCAAATGTACTCTCGTATTACTCCCCGAGGTTCTATAACATAATGTCGAAAGCCACAATGTCGTCAGATTTTATGTCGACTAGCAAAAACGTCGAATGTCACACAATGTCGAATGGACAATGGTCGAATGGGCATAATGTTGATTGTTATTATACCGAAAGCGTCAAAATGTGGGAAAACGTCGAATCCTCAAAATGTCGAAATCCGGTTATTCTTTTCCGTTCCTTGGGTCATGATATAATCAAGGAGAAGAGATTATTTCTTTCCTCTCTGCTCCCTTGAGGCAGCGAAGACTGCTTTGTCAACTTATCATCTGTCTGCATCAGTAAGCGTTGGCGGAGTTGATTACATCAGCAACAAGCGCACTTCCACGCAAAATGTATCAGTCGAATTGGGACTGTAACCAAGACCACCATGGAATACATGAATTCTCAGAAAGGTGGCAGATTATAAGTTGTTCATAGGTACTTATTCATGCGTGAAAAGTGTACAAAGGAGAAAGTGTATTGGAGGCAGTGTTAGGCGCGTTACTTGTGAAAAGTAACTAGTTACAAGTAGAAGTTACTTTTCAAGTTACTTTTCCTGAACAAAAACTCTGATCTTTCTACAACTTCTCCACTTCTTCGACAGAAGCTGGATGGATGGACTGAAAGCGAAAGTTACCCCTGATTTCATGAAAATTGAATTATGATCATCACTTAACTGGATAAATGCTCATGCTCACTCTTTTCCCTGTGCCTCTTCCCTCTCCATGGGTTACTTAACAGGAATTATACGCCGTTTCATGAAAATTGAATTATGATCATCACTTAACTGGATAAATACTCATGCTCACTCTTTTCCCTGTGCCTCTTCCCTCTTCATGGGCTGCTTAACAGGAATTATACGCCGATAGACAGAATGCACCCTTTAGTTTTTAAAAATGCCAATTTTGCCATTGGTGATGGGGAAACCTACCCCAGCCTGCCCCTTATCATGAGTTCCAGATAGAAAAATAGAGCAAACCAAAGTCATGTTCCCTTGTTTTCCCTTGACCAGACATGGACTGTATAAATCCAGCTTATACAGTGATTGAAAAAGAATTTTCACTAACTTTTTACAATGTAATGGTATTTTTATGGCGCAATCAAGGAGATGAGGGTGTTTCAATCATGAAATATGTGGAATTGGGATGGAAATGTTCATGTTAAAAGTGGTACATATTCACTTGCAAATCACTGCTCATTAGGTTAGGCTCTCCACTTCGAAGTGCAAGTGCTAGGCCTGAGTATTAACAGAGTCTAACTAATGATGGATTGTTGGGAGAGTGCTAAAATGGGGGAATTGAAATATGGAGAGGCAGCTAGGGTATACCTGCCTGCCGAGCCTAAAGGGGGGGATCGAACAAAACTGAGGAGAAAGGCGCCAATGATAAGCATACGAAAGGTTTCCGTGCAGATGCACTATCAGAACCAAAGCAACGCCTATCATTCAGATCTAACGTTAGATCAAAGGTTGTCTGTATAGAGTCCGGACATGATGTAACTCATCTAGACATGCTTTCTCAAGTTAGATGCTGAAGTTTGTGCGACAGAAAGTACCTTGGCCATCAGTAAACATAGAGCACTTCACACAAAAGTTTTCATCGATGCAGTGGCGGATTTTGACTGAAGGGTCAGGGTGGGGGGGGCAATAGAGTCAAACCCCACCTGAGTGATATCGGGAGAGAGAAATATTACCTCTAAGGTAGGGCTAGGCTCTGTCCTAGAGGCACCTGGGGGCAGTCTTCCCCGTCTTTCCTCCCAATATTGCATCAATTAGGATGCATGTGGCCATGAAGCGCTGGCTGTGTTCAGCAAATTTAGTAAATCATCAAGAAAAGGAACGCGTTACAGTAACGCCACATACTTTTGTCATGAAAAAGGAACTAGTTACCAGTTCCGTTACCCTCCCCTAAAAAGTAACTCGTTACCTTAAAAGTTACTGGAAAAAGTAATTAGATACTGTAACGTGTTACTTTTACTTCGTTACCGCCCAACACTGCCTATAGCAACAGTAAAAATTAAAAAATAAAAAAGAAGCTAAGCATATTTAATTGTGGTCTTATGTAAAAATCTCAATGACTCTCAGCAAATATACCTGGATGCAAACTCTCCAGATATTGGAATGTCAAAGAAGTTCTAAAGATGAACTAGTTCAAAGTTCAATATACAACAACGACAACCACTTTGTCTGAGTTATTTTTAGACCTTTTGGCAATAATAAACATTTCTCTCAAGGTTATAGACCGTTTGCCTATAGTGAATAGTTGAACTAATACCTTTTTCCTTAAATGAATGACCTGAGATGGCATTCTGAAAAAACATCAGCAATGAAAGTGAATCTTGAAATTGGAAACAGTAAATATCCAACATAGATTGATGTTTCCCCCTCCTCATGCCAAACACCCCCCACACACACTGTTCCAGGTGTCCATTCCTGTCAGCTGTGCCTCAAATTACTTCTAAGTGCTTTGGCAAAATGGAGCAAAACAGTTATACTTTTTGAAGAAAAATTTTTTTTTTGGGGAAGGGGGGGAAGGGAGGGGAAAGAGAGAGATAGAAAGAGAGCATGGTTGGATCTGACTGGTTCCTACAGAGCTACTTGTTTCCGATCCTACGTTTGAAGCATCAATGAAGAAAAACTCCTTAAATAAAAACCACCAGCCACCTAAACCAGCCTCTTGTCTCATTTTGCAAGGTTGAGTAACAAGGATAAAGCTGTGGTTAAGACTGACCAGGAGGTCTTGTGCCTGACTGGGCTCGTACTCTTCGAACTTGTTCTTTCTCCTTGCTGACCAAGTCTCTTTGGACACTTTGAAGTGTGGTGCATGCAGAGGTAAATTCATCAGTCAACTTCTCATGCTGGTGCTTTGCTTGTCTCTATGAATGAAAAGATATAAACAATATTCAATATATTGACATAAATGAGTTCAACATAAAATCTCACTAAAAAAAAATAGTCCTTTGAAGGTGAACAATTTTGCAAGGACTCCTTGTTTTCCTAGGTTCAAGAACTTCAAGGACTAAGAGTTTATTTCTTCAATTGTGGATATAAATTATTGAGGCCTCCATGGAATAAAATGAAATGACTTGTCTGGAACATACTATCTTTGCTTTTTGCAGAAGCTGCTAAAAATGATCTCATTGACATCTTTCTCATGCATCCAAACAAATTTCAAAACTGTTGAAACAGTATTGAAGCAGAGTTGGAGGTACTGACTTCTCACAGAATGAGAATGAGATATCCAAGACTGTCAACATCCTGATCTGTAAGCTTTAATTTTAGTTCCTTTAGTGTCACTTTTCAAGCCAAAAAAAAAAAAACACAGAAAGAATCTATCTTCATTACTTCTGTGGGAGTAGTCAACATTTTCAAAATTTTATTTTCTTTCACCTCACTGGGCCAAGTTAGGATAGTTCAATAGGACTGTTGATAGGCTCAAGATGATACTCAAGGGAACCCTAAAGTTTCAGGGGCAAATAGCCTGAGATATCAGAGTGAGTCAGAGTCAGAGATTTGAAACAGATCTCTGACTCTGATCTGATCAGCCTGAGGCATCCTGATTCTAACCAATAACATGCAGCTACACAGGACTACTCTGGAGATGTGGAATCATATGAGTACTGAGTATAATAAATGTATAGATAGATGAAGGAAACAGGGTTTTCAATGAATCCATACTTGATTCTGGAAGGTGCCCTGAGACAGCGAGGTTTTCATATCTTCCAATTTCTTCTTTGTCTCCTCAGCAAGCTTCTTTGTCTCATGGAGTACCTCATGCCTGAGAAGAACAATACCACATGGTTAGAAATCTGAGAACATATGAAATTACAATGACATCATCAAATGGAATCAAATCTTATCATGTAATCTTTAGGCACAATGGAGGGGAAGTACCCATGTGGTGCAACTAGAAATACAAATTGTCAATGGACTATTTGGAGAATGAGAAAAAATTAGGCTATGTATTGACACCATGACCCTTTCCATCATCATGTGAAGCTGTCTGTAGGACCCATAAAGGTCCTAGGTAGAGCCTAAACCTTTTCTTCACATGCTATTGTCCTTGACATCATTCACTTTAAAACCTCTGGGTTGACAAGGAGGAATAAAAATAAGCTCATTGCATTATTTCAATATAAGAAATCAGTTATGCAAATTTGATAAATCTACTGATTGTGGCTCTGCAGTTATAACAATGTCATCTTTTACAATACAGAAAAAAAACTCAATTTGTCAACTCCATTTTCTACTCTCTTACTTCAAGAACCATTTTGTTCTCGCACAATGTATCATAATCAACAATGGAGCTTGCAGTAGGGGGTGATTTGAGTCACAGAAATTGAAATGAAAACAAGGCCAAACCAACAAGCCCATCTCACAAGAATGCTTTCTTGAATGAAGAACCCATACTCAGGAGTACATTTTACAGGGGAGCAGGGAGGGCAGCCATCCCCCCTGGTGCATCCTCTGATGGGTGGGGTTTGGCACCCTCACTCAACTACCCTGCCTTCCCAGACTATTCAGTCAAATTATGCCACTGCCCATACTTGTACTATCATACAGCCTGGTAAGCACAAATGAGCTTAGTTAGTTCCTCATTCCATCCCATGATGCCACAATGTCTGCTAGCTTATCTTTTCCTGCAAATAAGTATACAGGGTGTTAAGAAAGTTGTGTCTCATTGCAATATGCCAATAACCTCAGCAAAAATGCAAAAATCATGAAATTTTTAAATACACAATAACAAGGACAGTTAACTGATTTAGAATCACTTAATAGTTTTAAATATAGCCACCCTTGGCACAGATGACAAGGTTCAGACCACCCATGAAAGTATTGACTGACTTTCGCAAGACTTCCTGTGGAATTCGCTCAGATTCTCAGTTCAGGGATAGCTTGAGAGAATCCAAAGAATGGTGCTTTGTAGCACACACTTTGCTCCCCAAGATGGACCAAATTAAAAAATTTGGGGTGTTCACATTGGGGGAGTAAGTGTGAAGTCATAATGAAGTTGGGGGTATTTGTCCACAGTCACTCCTGGGTCATCTGTGCCTTGCGAGCTGGCTCTGAGTCCTGCTGGAAGAACCAGCTGCTTCCATCGAAATTCCACAGAACCAGGCAGTCTTCCAGGATGCTTTTCTGGTATACATCAGCATTGACCTTAATCTTCTTGGGCTCAAAAACAAGTGCAGTGTGATAATCCCTGCCCAGACCATTACAGAAGCCTCCCCTTGAAATCAGATTTAGATTTTTCAATTAGGTCCATCTTGGAGAGCAAAGTATGAGCTACAAAACACCGTTCTTTGAATTCTCTCAAGCTATCCCTGAATGCTATCCCTGAACTGAGAATGGGGGGAGAATTCCACAGGAAGACTTGCAAAAATCAGTTGAAGCTTTCATGGGTCATCTGAACCTTGTCATTTGTGCCAAGGGCAGCTATATTGAAAACTATTAAATGATTCTAAATCAGTTAATTGTCCATTTTGTTGTGTATAAAAAAATTTTCAGATTTTTACATTTTTGCTGAGATTATAGGCATATTGCAATGAGACACAACTTTCTTAACATCCTGTATTTGTATTCCTAATGTTAGCAGACAGTCAAGGCTTCTGCTAGGTTGTCCCAAGATAGAACTATAATTATACATATATAAGGAAAGATGAAGCCAATGGCAGGTCTCATTTCTTCTGACATCTGACTCCCTAAAATAACTTTCTCTGCTTCCCATTGCTACCTGCTGGGGGCTAATGCATGACATTCTAAACCTCTTAAGGAGTACAAGAGTACATGAATGTTTTATTTCTTTTTAAACTACATGCATTAATTTCTCTGTATCTCCAAAGAAAATTTGGTCCATCATACATGGAGAGATGCTTGCACTTGACCATATAACCTTCAATCTTGTACCTATAATCATGGAATATCAGTAACCTTCCTTGAAAAGGGCAGTAACTTTCCCTATCCAACAAACATTTATTTTCAGAGGGATCCCTTAACACGTTGGCGACAATGCGTCCTGATGCCAGGATGCAGATTTTGGCAGGACGCATTTTTTTTTTTTTTTTTAAATGCACGTGGTCCCACACGGCGGACAAGCAAAAATAGGCTGGTCGTCAACATGTTAAGTACGAGCCTTGCTGCTTTTATACTGGAAACTTTCTATTTCATACTGGCTGACAGATGATGCAGCTAGAAAATCCTAGCCCAGGAAAGCTTCTGGAACCACAGGGAAGAGAAGAAACCAGGTTTAAATGTCATGAATGTGACAATGTGTGGCCAAGCACTGTCTTGAGGAGTTTCAGACCTTGAAACAATATAGAAAGTAAGTGCAACAAAAATATTTAAAAATTTGATAAGCATCATATTATTAACATTGAAACAAACGTTAATATTCAAAAATAATTTTTATCTGAAAAAAAATTCACTATTCAACAGGTTATGAGACATTTTTTCTGAAAAAAAACATGGTGCAGTGCCTTACATGTAAGCCATTTTCTCATTGCACATATTCATGATATTTAAGTATCAGTAGGACTGTGAACTCAACCATAATTGGTTACTTTTTGTGTTCTTCTAGCCGAATAGAATATACCAAGGCAGCTCAGCAGTCTTGTTACTTGTTAAATAGACAAAAAAAAAAAGGCCCTAAAGAAAGAATGGAGGAGCCAATTATGTTAGCTGCATGGACAGCTTAGAGCTGTGGTAAATATGGTTGAATATACATAGTCACTACTAAAGAGAATGCCTGTACAAGATTCCACCCTTTTAAGTTACTGAAATACTTGCATAGGAATACCCAAGAATTTATGACCAGTGAGAACTTTATTTGCCTTTCCCCCCCTAAATGACTATTCTGGCTCTATGTACATTAAAATAAAGGAAGAAAAGGTCTTGGCATGGAACAACTTACATGCCATCTCTGTTCTTTTCCCACTTTTTTCCCCAGCTCTCATTCCACTCCTCTCTTCCTTCTTACTTTTCCTCCCCAAGATATTTGGGTTCTTTCCATTCTCTTTTTGCAATTTAAATCTCCCAAAATTAACAGGTCAACCACCTCTCCCTAGACCAATGACATAAATAGTGATTTAAAAAAAATAAAACCAAGAACCACTTGCATGAATAACTGACTGCTGATCATCAGCACATCACTACCATAAGGACAAATCTGAGCATAATAAACATTCCAAAAGAAAAAATCCACTTACTCTTTTCTGAGATCATCCACACTTCCCTTGGAGTATTGTGACACCTTCTCTATATGCTTTGCTATAATATAAAATAAGATTTAAAAAAGGGATCACAATTCCAAGGTACAAGTGTTACTAGAGTTCACTTGATTGAATGTAACAAAACAGTAGTTAGCAGGATTGTAGACAAAGAGAAATCATGATTAATACTCACCATTTTGAGATATCTTTCTAATGTTTCTTGCAACAAGGTCAGCCTCCCGCTTGAAAATGGCTTCTCTTTCAAAAGCATCTGCCATGGTGTCGCACCTGGTAGCTCAGTATATCTCACAGAATGGTCTCAGGTTGTAACCAAAGAGTTTTCAAAAATGTTCAATAAGTTACAGCCTATGAAAGAAAAGTGACCACATAGTGACCAGAATATCCCAGGCAACAATAACAAAAGGCACTCCAACCTCCTTGACAACATAATCAATTAAGTCTCACTTTGCATCTACAGGGTGTTCAAAAAGAAATGCAACCCATTGGAGAATGCATATATCATTGTAACTTATTAAAACAGGTTAACAACAACATTAAAACAAGTGTTCAATAATGATTCGTTATGTACACTTATGTGCAAATCATAGTGCTAACATATTTTTAAAAATTTTTAATTTCCTAATAAACATGCATTCTCCAATGGACTGCATTTCTTTTTGAAATAATACAGGGTATTCTATAAATCACTACATCATTTCAAAAAATCATATCTATTAAACAGTTGACATAAAAAAGAAGAAACATTAATGGAATGGTAGCATGCTGGAATTATCTTTTTCAAAAATGAAGGCATTACTATGTTTTGAAAGTGCCTCAAAATCCTCTTTGTCTGAATCAATACATTAATCATGAGGCTCAGCATCAAAAAACCCCTGAAACTCCCCTTTAACTCTGATGGGACTCTCAAGGACCTCCAAGTTGCAACATTTCTTAGTTACTCCAGTGCCAATTGTGAAGCCTTTTCTCATGAGAGCAAAAGCAATTTAAATTAAATAACTTTTTTTTCTGTTTCCTCAAGTCTTTCTGACATTTGAAGGATAGAAAAACAAAGTTCAGCAAATTTGTGGAAGAGGATTCAATGAAGTGTACCAAAAATTTCTCTAAACAAGGACACCTTTCTTATTTGCATGTAAAGCTAGTTCTATTTGAGTCTGATTCAAAGTGATTATTGTGAAAAATTCTAAAATTCTAAAGAAAAATTCTAAATGTTCTTTCCATCAGTACTAACAACAGTGACCTGCTTGTTGCAGTTTAGAAAATATTGCAGTTTGAAATGGTGTAGTGACTTATGGGGCACCCTGTAGAATGGGTCGAGTAATAGAGTAATAAATGCCCGTTAGGCTTACTTTTGTTGCCATGTCTGTAAAAAAATTAATAATATATGCAATGGTATTCACCATCATTACTGAAGACCAGCTATATAGGGTCTACATGTAACACTACCCAGTTACAAAGAAATCATGACTGGAAATTAATGTAGATTGATGATGGAAGTACAAGGGGTGATCAATAAGTTTCCACAAACCATTTTTTTTAAGTACTAATGGTGAGATGTAAATAAAACTTGGTACACATAAGCAGCCAGGCCTGTTCTGTGGTTCAAAATATTCCACATTCACATCAATGCACTTCTACCATCTGAAGGGGAGGAAGTATATGCCCCCTTGACAGAGGTCTGTATCTTGGTGACAAAGCCACTGGGTTGCAGCATTCTGAAGGTCTTCACTTCCAGAAAAATGCATTCCTCCTCAAGACAAGGGTGCAAGGTCTAGACTATAAGGTGGATGGGTCATTACAGTCCACTGAAAGCAGGTGATGAGCTGTGCAACTTTGAATGCTACATGTGGGAGAGCATCGTCATGCAACAGGCACACATCAGTATCCCCCATTTCAGGTTACTTTCTTCTCAATTCCTTCTTGAGTATGCATAGTGTCTGGCAATTTCTGTCAGCATCAATTGTTGTGTTCGGTTCCAAAAGTTCCATTAGTATTGAACCATTCTTGTCCCAAAAAAAAACTAAGCATGACCATTTTGGTGGATGCTTGAGATTTGAACTTCTTTGGTCTAGATGATGAATGCTACCATTCCTTTGTTCCTTCATTTCAGATGGCAGCAGTACACAGGGAATATTTTGAGGAATAGGACAGGCCTGGCTGCTTATGTGGATCAATTTTTTATACATTGGTACTTTAAAAAAAAAAATGGCATGTGGAAACTTATTGATCACCCCACATATATTTGAGAGGAAAGCTCAGGGCTACAGGTCCAACAAATTGATAGTTTGGGGCACTTGCCAAAATTACTGCTACAGGCCTATTTTGTTTAAGTCTGCATCCTCCCCCTAATATAGAAAAACTTAATGATGAATTTATCCCTGCAGTATGTCACATCCTATAGTGGCTCCCATTTGGCCAAAAAATAGGAGTCTTTGTTTATCCCAAGAATATTCTGCATTCCTGTCCGAAAGAGAAAAATCCCTTTGGTCTATAATAGAATTTGGCAAGAGCACCAACTATAGTCCAATAAATAACTGAAAATCAGACCACTGTAAAAAATAATAAGAATAGTAATGAGGAAGGAAAACAAATTTAGAAGATAGCAGAATGGCAACAACAAAAAAGTCCTATTCATGACTGACTGTCTAAGAAATGGGAATAACAGGTCCGAAACAGGTAGGAAACGGGAAGGAACAGGTCCTGTGAATGTTGGCCCAAGGCAAATAATGAATGTAAGTGATATGTAGGATCACCAACAGAGAGGTGTTCACCGCTCAACATTCAAAGTAGATCATTGTCATATATAACAGTAAATATTACAGTGGTCCAGCACAATCATCTAGTTTCATGCAGTATGCATTATTTGTTTACAATCAAATTGGTCTCACAATGATCAGATACAAAGTGGTTCAAGTAAACGCACCTTTTAGAAGTTGACACCATGGACAGTGCCAGATGAACTAGTTTTTCACACATGAGTGCCTTCAGGATCAGCAAAGAATGCCCACTTGTTTGCTTTTATTTTTAATGCAAGTCTCAGATGGCATCTCAGCAATTATGATGGCATAATTAGATTTTTGATGGATGGGAATGTTTCTGGTAGTGTTCTTGATGCATAACTTAAAATCTTAGACATCTCTGGACTTTGTCACATAAACCTTGGATTTCTTATCAATTCATAATTGTAAGTCCAATGGCAAAAGGTCCAGAGACCTGGCTGGCCAAGTGGCAGCACTGCAATGTCCAATCCATCTCCAAGGAAACACTTCATTCAACTACATGCACAAGATCGTTCCAAGATGCAGACATGCACTGTCTTTTAGGAACAAGACTTAAACTATTAACTTTTCGTGATCTTCAAGATCTGGAAGAACTAAGTTATATAACATCCCCAAGGAACACTATCAAAGACATTCCCATTCATCACATTCACAATTATGCCATAACTGCTGAGTGGTAATTTGAGACCTGCATTAAAAATAAAAGAACACAGGCATTCTTCACTGATCCTGAAGGCATTCACATGTAACAAACTAGTTCATCTGGCATAACTTTCCATGGCATAAATGCAACTTCTACAAAATTTGTGCTGAAATTTTAGAGATGCAGAATCCCAAATTAATGGTCAACCTGTATAACAGATTAAATGTATTATATATGGAACATAGGAAGTATTGACAAGTTCTAGGCTTGCTGATGAATATAGCATGAGGTTATTATGTAAGAGAATCCTTTTGGAGCTCACTAATTTTAATAAACTAATAAAATCATTTTTGTAGCACTGATGACATTGTTCATTAACCCTACCTATGAGATCTTTTGTCAATTTGAAAAGAAGTAGTCTAGCTCAGTAACAACATGAACAAAATCTCGCTGCAAGCTGGATAGAATCGTTTGATGGGCCAGACTTGCGGGCTGTAATTCGTGTACTCCTGGCCTAGACCTACAGGTCAGGAGGCTAGTAGGCCAACAGGCAAAACTGTACCTTCTTATATTCTAACTTTCAGCGATCTTCGATTGATTTCACCCTTCTCCTTTCATGGGTGAAGCGGAAACTTTGAGTCCCACCTCAGCCACTGATTTAGAAAGGGTTACTTATTTTAAAATGAAGTTGTCCCCCTAGTTATGTGGGGGCGCCATTCATAACGCGGTAGAGGGTGAAATCAATCAAAAATCACTGTTGAATCACGCCTTTGGGAAGCGTGGGGTGGAGGGAGGGGGAAGAGGAGCAGGGACAAGCTTTTTAAAGGTGAACTGCAACCAAAACTAATTTAAAACTCTTGGTTCATCAACTCTTCCTTCGTCCACACGTGCACAATTCATGATTCATATTTGCAGTATGCGTAATCAGACTGAATGCAGCTTTGTCAATACACGTGACACATCATCCCACTTGAACTTCATTTTAAAATTTCCTGAAATTTCTCAGTTTTCACCTTTGCTCTTATGATTCAAATTTTATGAAAGTTTTTAGAAAGTCTCTGCTGCATCAAACCATTATATTTTCAGCAATGTTGCGCGAAACGATGTGCGAGGCTACGTCAGAAAGAGCATCACTGTTACCCGCTGTCGCCATATTTGTGTTTGGAGAAGCTTGGCGTGCCGGGATCAGAGAACGCTGAATTTCATTATATCTGAAGAACTCAACTGAATTCCATCTTGCATCCCTTTATCCTAGGGCAAATACAACGATGGGTGTTACTGTCGAGACAATCACCCCAGGAGATGGTGAGTAACGGTCATGATTGGGTCTAGCTTTGGCCCATTTTACGGCCTACCATTGAAGTGCTTTACCTGATTTATGCTTTTGGTATAGGCTTTATGGAAATCAGTAATTTCTTTGCGGTTTGTAATAAAATTTTATTGCTAGTCAGGAAATCCCATAGCGGGAAAATTGATATTCGTCATCGAGGGCGTTAGGATGGTGAACGCATGTCGTTTTTCAGGAAGAATATACATATGACTGCTGACAATGAAATCGTTTTCTGTTCTTGAGATGCACCGAAAAATATGAGTCTAGAGGGTTAGCAGACCTAAGCTCATTGCTTTCAGAGTGGCAGGGAAAATATACTCCTGCAGCCTTTCTTTGTACCAATTGTTAAGTGAATTTGTATCTCAAGCAACCACCTTTGGTTGGTAAGAAATGGCCCAGTTATGGGTGCTAGTCACATGTAAGTAGGGTTACCAGTGCCATAAAAAGGGTGTGCGAGCAGTGCCCCCCCACAGGGTGCCAATTGGCTGCCGGATTATTACTAAGCATAAATAAAATTTAAAAATAATTGCAAATTATCCTGAATTTAACTAAATTAAACATTGAAATTAATACGTAAAGTATTGTTGGTGCTGTGGAAGCTGGAGAGGAGGTAAAAAGGGGGGGGATGCACTGGACTGATATTTCACATGGGGTGCCAAGTATCCTCATTACAGTGCTGAGGGTTACCATACATCAAGTTTTTCCTGGACATATCCTCTTTCTTTGCATTTAAACTTCCATCCAGGTGGAAGGCATTGAATGGGTTACCTACCATATATGCAGGTTTACCCAGACATGACATGACCTTCAAATTTCCATCCAAGCAGAGGATGTCCTCTTCTTGACTGCCTAAAATATGGTAACCAATACATGAAAGAAGCAATCACTTAATGATCATGTGGACTCTTTCATCCGTTTAAAGTAATTCCTGCATATAAGTTTTTGATTTCCATTTGTCTATTCTTTATTCAGCTTTTAAATATGATTGCTTTATTGGTTATGTTCAATATTAGATAATTGTGATTGAAAGTCCCCTTGTTTTACAGGCTCTTCATTCCCAAGAAAGGGGCAAACAGTTGTCGTTCACTACACAGGTAAGTGAAATGCAAGCTCTGCCCTGCCCTGAACAAGGCGTGAGTGTAAGAGGTTGAATCCTTAACAGGAATTCCTTACTCAGGCTCTTAGAAAAATTACTAGGAGCATGCTTGTAATAGGATATCAATTTGTTCTTCCTTGAAGGTACCCTTCAGAATGGGAAGAAGTTTGATTCATCCAGAGATCGTGGACGTCCATTCAAGTTCTCCTTAGGGAAGGGAGAAGTCATCAGAGGCTGGGATGAAGGAGTTGCTCAAGTGAGCCATTGCATTTAGACCAAGAATCCAAGTTGACACTGACTGGGGAAAAAATATTTATGCATTATGTGCAGCATTGATGGGGCCTCACTTTATTTGTCTTAAGTTTTGGAAGCATCATATGGGAGCTTTATTGGATTGGAGAAATGTTATATTTCTTATGAGCAGCATGCAAAATCATGTAAGGGTAGAGACTGAACAGACTAAAGGAGAAGTTCAAAAGGCATTTATGGATTTTCAATTTTCAAACCTGTTTACTCTTACATCAAGCTTTTGTGATCTTGAAAGATAAGTAAGGGAAGTGAAGTAGGAGACAAGAACCAGTGTCAGTATATTGAAACAGATTGTAAACAACAAGCTTACTGAAGGGATTGGTATGAGCTTTGATGTGGGGAGTGTAATGGAGTTGCATGAAAAGGAAGTGACAGTATGAAGAGAAAAAAAAAAGTTTTAAATGCAATGATTGATAATAAAAAGATATATATATATATAGGCAGGTAATTACAAACTATGTGTTCTCTTTACAGATGACTGTCGGTCAAAGGGCCAAGTTGACATGTTCTCCAGATTATGCCTATGGAGAGCAAGGTCATCCAGGTGTCATCCCACCAAATGCCACCTTGATATTTGATGTTGAGCTCCTGAAACTTGAGTGAGCTTGCTTTTACTGGATCTGGAGTATTTCCATCTGTGTGATGTCCTCTTTCATAAAATGTGTGTGAAAGGGATCTTTCAGTTAAACCTTTTTGGCACTCCTTCCATATCTCTTCTTCCTGAGGAATTCACATTTCCGTGAAATGATTTCTCTGTCTGTATCACCTTTTACTGTCAAATTTTATCCATGTTCTTACTTTCATGTCATGTTGATGGAATGAAGTTATAATGCTTGAGTCGCAAGTGGAGTATTTCATTTTCCATCGCAAGTTTACCAGTGCTAGCATTCCACAGACAGCAATTCCTATGGAGTTTTTCGAAAAATGTGTAAAAAAGCGTTAACCCTTCAAGTACTGAGTTTTGACCTGGCGTAAGTGATGAACATGCTGTGTGTGTGAAAACTCCTTGAAGGGTTATGCAGTGAATGCATGGCTTAGTGCTTGCTTTGACTGGTCATCCTATGAGTCAAATTTCCCAAATCCAAACAAAAGCAGGAATGTGGGTTAATCACCATATGTATATCTTGTGGAGATATGGCCTCAGTCTGTCATCCACCTATTAATGAAAAATATCTGGAAATCACAAGAAGATGCTTTTTCACCAGCAAGGCAATTTTGTCTGAAGCAGTGAAACCCATTACACATCAAAGGAACTCTTGTGAAGCAGTGATGTAAGGAACCTCTGGTGTTGTAAAGATGGGTGCTTGTGCTACTTTGTATTGTGATGCAACAGTATGTATATTACCTGTTTGTGACTAAATCCTCTTCTGCTCCTAGACTCCTTTTCCTTAACCTCTACTCAAGATTTCATCTCAAAAACGACAACAAAAAAACTTTTTTAAAGTGTGCTTTGTGATTTCTGGTTTTTATGGACATTGCTTTGCACTTAATTTTCCACGAGAAACGCTACTGGGTTGATACGGGATAGGAAAAGCAAAAGTACTAGGGCCAGTCAAATGAAAACAGCAATTGATTTCTATTTGAACTGCTGGCGACGTTTATTACTCCAAGGGCATTGAGACGCTTCTCCTACCACTTAACCTGATTTATTTTTTTGGCACTGCCAAATAACGACATCTGGTGACATCGTGTTCTTGGTGCCTCTACACTATCACTTCGTCTTTCGAGTGGTATCGCCGGCCCCTCAACGCCCTATTCATAACAGCATCAACAAAATAATGACACCAAGTTTCATCGCATGCCTCGATTCTGGCCAAAAGCCTGTCCACGTCGGCATGGTCGCGTTGCAGATGTGCTGCACAGAGATCCATGCAGACATTCTTTGTCAGACACTTCGGTATCCATTTGAAACACACCTAATGGTGCTGGAGGCGATCTTGAACGCTCGCGTGCCCAGACCCATGGCTAATCCCCTCTCAAGGATTGGCCATGGGTCTGCGCATTACCGCATCCAGAAACACGCGTAAGTTTGCTGAAATCACCTTGTCCACCTTCGCGACATCGTTCGTGGTGACATTTTGGCTGGATTTGTCATCGTACGTCCACGTACCACGAGACATTTTGCGCCATTCGTGCACTCGTCTCTAGAACCAGCACGTCGCACTGTAGGCCTCAGTGGCAACCATGCTACAGGGTGGGCCAAAATAAAGTTCGACCTTTTTCACTCCATTTTCACATTTTCGTCAATAAAGTATGTGCCTGCAACTTATGTCATTGTTCATAATCGCTGCACTACAATAGAACGTCCTTTCTATTTTGGAAGTCGTTTCAGAAGTTTTTGCACAGAGAGGATTTCCCGGCGAGGTGCCGCTGCCCGGGGGTTTCCTCTTCGCATCGTACCTGCGACGGTTCTTGTTTCTTGCAACTTTGTACTTCTTCTTCGGTGTGCTGTGCGGCGAAGATCGAAGTGCATCAATGAGCAAGTTAAGTGCAGAGCACAAGGTGGTCATCGAAGTCCCGCATCGGGAGAAAAGGTAGCAAAGCGAAAGATCGTGAAAGAATATCCGAATCCCAAGTAGAACGTGAGAACGGGGAGCCGTCTGCTGAAACGTTCGCGAGAAAGTGGCACCGCGAGTCGTAAACCCGGCAACGAAAGACCGCGACCCGACAGGAACCGATCGACCTGCAACCCCGTCGACCCACGAAGCAGCCTCATCGCCCGAAAAAGCGGGGAATCTCTCGCACCGCCCAAAGCGATCCCGACGCCCAGGACACGCCGATGCCTCCCCCATCGACCTCAGGAGGCCGCAGACGCAAATCCCCGTCTGCCAGCGAAAGGGTCGACCTCCAGGTCCTCGCGAGAATTTTCTTGCAGCAGCTGCCAGCGAGACGAGGAGACTGGCAACGTCGCCAGTTGCTTCTTCGACGCTCGCGCAAAAAAAGCTTCCACGGACAAGATGGCAGACGGAAAAAACAGTAAACTGTCAGAACTACAAAGAACAACCAAAACTACAGGGGTTGGGGGAGTCTAAGCAAACGTACCTCGTCAGAACCTTGTTCCTCCGAACCGTTTGCTGAAACAGACAGAGCACTTCTGCCCGTTATCGTTATCGTTAGGTGTGTTTCTCGGCCTGACATCATCACTACAAAAACTTATGAAGCGATTTTAGAAAAAGTGCGTTTGATCGTAGTTAAGCCATTCTAAGCAATGAGTTTTTATAGCAGGCACTCAACTTAATTAGTGAAAATGTGACAACGAAATAAAAAAATATGGAACTTATTTTTTTTGCCCCACCCTGTATACCATGGATATTCAGCGCTCTCTGCACCCAAAATCTGCGCCACGCCCCGCTGATGCTTCTCGTGGACTGGCCCCCTTCGATGGAGGCAGCCATCTTTGCCAGGTGGGGGGGGGGGAGGGGAGGGGGGGGTGGGAACGCCGTTTCCGTACTTCTTTCAGGGACTCAAAAAATTAAAAAAGAATTTAGCGCAGACTCCTGCGATTGATGATAATGTTCCGTGTGCACGGTGGGCCAGCAACAAAAAAAGCGGAGTTTTCAACGATACTCTACACTTCACTTGCATATATTTTAATGCGGTTTTCCGCATTTGGAAGAGTCGAATAAGCTTTAAAACGGTGTCCCTGTATTTCGAATATCTTCAGCGGTTTCGAAAACTCGGGAGCTCGTGTAAAAACACTAATAAAAAATTACGTTGCCGCGGGACGAAACGCGCGGCGGCGGGCGAATTTCGCTTGCCGTCTGCGGCCGAGTGTTTGCTTGTTCTTCGTGCGAGTTCCCGAATATCTGAAACCGTTGAAGAAATTTTGAAATGTAAGCGCACCATTTCAAAGCTTGTTTATTCGTGTTCAAAATGCTACAAAACCGCATGAAAATATCTCAGATAGTGAAGTATCGCTGAAAATCTGCCTGGTTCATTTTTGGGCCCTTCCGGTATGGCCAAAAAAAAAGGGGGAAAACCGAATCGAAGTAAAAACAGCGAGGCAGGAGGGAACGGTTTAGCCCGTCAAACGTTCGTCTTTACTCCCGTACAACTAAAGGTCGACTTTCACCGTTGATTGCATCATTTGGAACTGAAAATGAAAAAAAAAAAATACCAACCGGAACATGATCGGATTTAAATTAAATAAAAATTCGATTATGTACTGCCCACTCCTGAAGAAATTCGCGCCGTTTAACTCACGTCGCAGAGAACCCCTGCCATCGCGATCGAAATGTCTCGGAGCCGAATCGAGAAGAAACTTCGCGCGTCGCGTCGGACCCAGCAGACGCGAATGCGAGCCGCATTTAGAAACGTCGAGAAGAAAATCTCTCGGAAAAAAATGCTCGGGCGTTCTGTCAGAAAGTTTCCCCTCGACCTAGGGAAAGCTCCCGTCGATCGTGGACGTGTCTGACAGCACCGAACGCATGGGAGGTGTTTGCAGTCGCGCTCCCGCCGTGCCCGCCGCGTGAGGTCTGAGCGCCATCCGGTCCGACCTGGAAGTGCGAGGCGTCGAGTCCTCGGGATTCTTCCCTGCCGTCTCCAGTGGCGTAGCGAGGGGGGGGCTGGGGGGGGGGGGTTTCAACCCCCTCAAGTTTGGTTCAAGCCCCCCCAACCCTGATCGGAATGCGTCCACCCCACCCCNGGGGGGGGGGGGGGGGGGGGGGGGGGGGGGGGGGGGGGGGTTTCAACCCCCTCAAGTTTGGTTCAAGCCCCCCCAACTCTGATCGGAATGCGTCCACCCCACCCCGACGAAGAGCAGTTAGCCCCCCCTTGACGAAAACCTGGCCACGCCACTGGCCGTCTCCGACTCCATCTGCCGAGATCAAAAAGGGGAAAATATCTCGTAAGGGATGGACGGCTTCCCCATCTCTCGTCAGAGCCGACTTCCCAGGTGCCACTTAGGTGCAGTTTGCATCGGAAAATGCACTTTTAAGACCCAAAAGACGGATGGCCCTCTGGAGCAATGGCGAATTGCCTCATCCTTTCCCAATTTTTTTTTTCACTCGCAGTTAATGATCGTTATGGTAATGAGTTAATGAGCGTACCTTTCACTCGTTCAACATAACGCTCAGATTAATTTTTTTTTTCCCTTCAACCCTTTGAATTATCCAGGAAAACATGCTTCGGAGTGTCGAATAACGCCGACGAGTTCCTTCGCAATCCAGGCAATAAATTATCCCTTCTCTCAGCAAAAAAATTGTTCCGCGTCCGCACGGGACGACGCCGAATCGCGGCAGTCGCCTCGACCTCGTCCCTGCCCTCCCCCCAGGGCCCGCGGCGATCCTCGAGCGAGCCGCGCGAATCCGCGCGAAGTTGCTCGCCCTTCGAGGAATGCTGCAAGCCGTTGGGGATTTGCGTGACCGGCGTGCAGTACATAATATTTAGCATTTTATATTATTTTATTTTATTTCTTATCGTATTTCTTATTTCTTATTATTATTTCTCATTCGAGAAATTTTGTTTCCAACCTGCGCCGTCTCGATCCAACGGCGCTGCCCGTCTTTCACCGTCACCCGAGCGTTTCGAGAGTGCAATTCTCTTCAGCGAAGCGACATGTGCCAATCCTTTCTCACTCCCAGTGGGAGGGAGAGCGAGGGAGAGCGAGGGAACGCGAGAGGGAACTCGGGCTCCTTCCAGCATTTTCTCTATTCCTGCTCTAAAAAGCCTCCGATTAGACGGTTTATCCGGTATTTTAACCGCGTTTACCCCCCACCAAGCCATATC